TATTGCAATGAAACCACAGTAGAAAAACTGATTGAAATCCCATAACCACATATATATAAATATATGAACATGAAATACAAAGAAATAATATATTAATCTAGCAATAGTCTACTGTGCTCACATCAAACTTTGTACTCTGCATCCTCAATTGCAGTAAAGTAAAGAGAAGCTTTATCTGGTAGCACAACCCCATCGATCATTGACCTGACACATGCCAAGGAATAAGAAAAATGAATGACAAGAATGTAGCATATAAGGAAACCAACAAAATTTGGCTTTCAGGGAGGCAAAACAATATTAGTAGAAGTAAATTTAAAACGGCACTTAACCACATCAAAAACAGAAGAATAAAATTGCTCAAGAGAAGTCGTCACGAGGATTGAGTTATAAAGACTCAATCAATTAACATTTATAGATGGAATCTAAGCCTCCATATAACCCACCTTGTCCAAATCATAGCATGCAACAGAGGAAGTAACAATCATGTTTAGAGATTTTAACCATCATAGTATGTAGCTGCCAGTATATATATGTGCCTTCGACCAAGAAAAAAAAAAGGCTTAATATGCTACCCAAGTGGAGGTAGGAAAGGTCAAGATACTCAAGAACACCAAGATATAAGACAAAACTATAGAAGGCAAACCTTCCCTCATATGGTCAGTTGACAATGACTAAATCCAAGCCATACTTATCACATAGAGGCCTTTAAATGTTCCATGTTTAGCATATGGTATGTTGAATTTCACACCAGTATATGCATGCATGTATTCCAGGTTGAATATCAGTTTTACACAGCATACACCTAAATGAATCATCAGGAAACTTCAAGATATTTCCAATTACAGCAACCACGGAAACATTTCGAGTACAGACGCTTATAGTATCAATGATCGCAAGCAACTTATAAGCCATTTATGTCGGGCCTATAACATTGTATTCAGCATATTCTCGAACAACAAAAAGTAGCCCATCCACTCTGATACAACTTTTGAAACAGGAAGCTCAAAAGTTAACAACAACTACACCAATCAAACAACCCTTGAGTAAAGAGTAAGCTGAAATAGTGACGCAATACAGGAAGACACATATAAACTAACCATCAGACAAGCCATTTGATTAGACAATTTGTTTAGCCATATCAACCGGCAAACAAGGTATGGACACCAGGAGTGTTAAGAATTATGTCGGTAAGAAAGATAGTTAACAACACATAAAACAGAAATAGAAGGAAAAAGGAGAAACGAAACACACAGAGCATAAATATGTGCTGCCTCTGCTTTTGCACAAAGCTGCAGGGATAAAATTCCAATTACAGGTCCCACATTGACAACATTTAATTTGGAATAGAAACTTATTCATATAAATAACGTTTTTCTTAGTTCGCACCAATCCTTTAGCATTTCCTGAAATATAGGAATTTTTAGGTTCAGTAGAGGAAAACCATTTTCCGAACAAAAAGAAGCTAAAAAAAATCAAACCCTACCAAGTTCTACCCAAGGCAGGTATAATTTTCCATAAACTGACCTATGTGCAAAAATGACGATTGTTTTTTTAATAATAACTTTAACACATTACTTTATGGGTAAGCTCAACTAAAAAGAACAATAACACCCAAATCCTCATTCACAGATCTTCGGAACCCTATAAATCATAAAAAATGGATGCTGGAGCTGAGCTAGTTTCATCCGTAGAACCGGTAAGCGTAAAACCTACACTTTTAGTTTTGAGCAATATATATTATATTTAAAGCAAAAAAAAAAAAGAATCTATGTATTCACCTAGCTCAACCCTTTTATTTATAAGAAGCTTCAAGAACATTCTGTTCAAATGCAGCCAACTTCCAACTTAGTTTTCTTTGTTTTATTAATTTCTTGGAATCAAAATCCAAATGGATCGTTTCTTTCTTTTAGGATTTGAAAAACTGGGTTTGTTTAAATTATTCAAAAGCAGTTAACTTTAGGTTTCTTTCTTTTAGGTTTGAAAAAACTGGGTTCGTTTTAAATTGTTCAAAGCAGCTAACTTTTTGATTTGGGTTATGACAATGGAGTAACTTTAAGAGGCCCAGATTGTTTTAAAGAAGCAATTTTTTAAAATTTTTGAGGGATTACATATTTACATTCTTTTATTTTTTCTTGAAAAATGGAACAAGGAACCGTATCTCTTGTCTTTGCTTGACATGAGACTACGGGCGTTGGAAGTGCCGACAATCTTTTTTCCCTTTCATTGTGGACATACGAGTTTTTTTCACATTGATTTGATTACATTATTTTCTGTTATTAATCGGCTTCTACCCATTACAATCCCACCCCGTTACCCACGAAGGGTTGATTGGAGAGAGAAGAAGGGAGCGGAACAAGTGTTGAATCCAGTGAGAAATCAAGGGTCTTGTCGTAAGATATTTTAGAACGCATTTAGGCTGGTTTACATATTTTGCAAAATATATTAACCACTAATCAAATTTTCAACTGATCTTTTAGAGGCATGTTGGGCCATGGCAGCCATTGTGGTGCTTGAGAGTGTGAGAAAACGACATCCACGTTTTCAACATGAAAAATTGAAAATTTTGTCTCCACAAATGCTTATAGACTGCCTTTGCGAAGATCCTCCAAGAGAAAAAACAGATCCAGACACTGGATGTTACATCCCTACTGTCAACAAGGCTTTCGACTGGTTGAAAGAAAACTCGTTGCAATCTGAAGCCGATTATCCTTATGTTGGCAGGAGAGGGAAGTGTTACCTGTTTCAGTGGCATTAAATATAAATTACTAATATGTGCATATCTTTTTTTTTATGTTATAAGTATATCATTTTTTAAAATTATTCTTAGTTATTTCAGCCTAAAGACAGTTTGAAGATAAAAGATTATCTAAAGATAAAAGGACATGAGAGGACAAAACTTCTTCAACGTGTTGCTCGTCATCCTGTAGCAGCAGTTATTGACATTACTAAGGAACTTTTGGCTCTAAAAGATGTAAGATGTAGACAATTTAATCCATTTCGTTTTATAATCAGTAATTATTATTAGTATTATTATTATTTCATGTTATTTACTTCTAAAGTAAGTATAAATTGTTTCAGAAAATTTATGAAGGACCTGCTATGAAATCTGAGGGAGACCCAGCGAGACACGCTGTTGTAATTATCGGGTATGGTAGGATGAGATGACTGGCAAAAACTATTGGTTGATTCAAAGCTCGTGGGGAGATAGATGGGCAATTGGAGGGGTGGGAAAAGTGGCCAGGGATGTGATGATAAATGATAAGCATCTACTAAGACGGATTTCCTATCCCATATTTGATGATGAGCGCACTGCAAACCAAGTTCAATCCCTAGAACAACAAACTTAGAAGAAGAAAAGAAGAGAAAAAAAAAATGAAATGTTTTGCTTGAAAACATTTTTGTTTGAGAAGGACGTGAACCTGCTTATTTTGCTTTTCTATACTTGAAATGACAAACATGTGACTGCAGGTTAAGTACTACACCATAGCCCATAGCCTATAGGTAAAAAATGCAAACAGAGAGCAGAGCGCTTCAAGCAGTCAGTCCCTGCCTGCCGCGTCCAAGTAAAATTAAAGGACAAGTTTTGATTTCGGTGGCCCTTAAAAAACAAATTTGCTTTTTTGCTGTTAAATTTATTTTTGCCCAATTCTTTTTGTTCTTCATTGATTTCATCCCATTTTTTTATGTTTTAATTTTTTTTCAAAAATTCAAAATAAATTACTTAATCCCCAAATCAAAAAAAAAATTTATATCATGCCAAATAATTTAAAAATAATAATACAAAATTATGCATTCAAAATAACCTACAAAAAGCAAATTTGATTCAATCATCTTGTTTTTAAAGTTAGTGATGTATAATTTTTAAGATTACGTTTTCCTTTCATAAATGCGTTCAAATGGTTCTTCATGCACACTTTATTTCAGCTTTGGAGCAATTACTGATGTAAAGTAAAAGCTTTTGCAGGTATTAATTTGATGAAGAGGCGCCAATTACAGTACAGCTGCTCTAAAAGTTGTGAGATTGCTTGCCTAAGAAGTTACAACTTATTAATGGCAAGAGATTCCGTAAGACAAAGCGTTGTAAAAAAGAAAGATTTGCGAGTCAGAAAGAAAGAATAATAAAAAAGGAAAACTAAGTTCGACCAAATTTGCATTAGTAGTAGTAGTAGTAAAAAAGTTTAGCATAAATTTACGTCCTACGCATAACTAATGGTAACATTCCAGAAAGGAAACAAATTCATCAACCTTAATGGCTAAAAATCTTGCTCTTATTAAGATTCCAACAAACAAATCCTTTTTTGGTTCAATTCAGGAATATTCTAGAAAAAGGTTCCGATTATAAACCAAGAAGAATTAACAGATAACAATACTTCAATTCAAGATAACATGCTCAACTTCCTGATGATCTTCTTACCCAACAGCTGAATTGCCTCCATAAAATCTTCAAACATCAACAAAAAAAACAAGTACACAACAGTAAAATCAATATTAAATGTATATGAACAAGATAACATGCTCAACTTCCTGCTGATCTTCTTACTCAATAGCTGAATTGCCTCCATAAAATCTTCAAACATCCACAAAAACACAAGTACACAACCAGTAAAATCAACATTAAATGTATATGAACAAATGGTAGCACCTTAAGTAAAATCATGGGCTAATTAAAACACAAGCACATGAATCAGAATTTCTAAAACTAAACATGAGATTTTCTCCGTTGTACCACCAAAGAGTACCCATAACTCCCAATCCTTCCATTTATTTCACCATTGTTTTTCTTGGCCATAAATACTACTGTATAAAAACCTCTAGCTAAAATGGTTAGCAAAGCGTAAGCTTGTGCTTGCTCGAGACATCCCAAACCTCATGCACGCATAACCCAACAAACAAATACATTATGCGTCCATTCATACTAATAGGCAAACAATGTCACAAATATCACCAAGATAAATTTGACCAAAATCAATGACAAATTGAAAAAGAATTTGAAAGGAAACACCGTGTCATTTAATTCCAAGATATTCTTCCTATCAGAGTTTAAGAACAATGAACAAGGACCCATCCTCCATAATTTTGTTCATCCTCCATAATCAAATAGCTGTTCTCAAAATAATGAAAATTTAACCATCAAATAAAACATACCACAGAACTCAAGTTTGTAATCTATCCCAATGAAAAAAGAAGACATTGATACCAGAGACAAGACAAGATCAATTCCATAAAACCAAAATATAAGTATGGAAAAAGAGTAAAAATTTGATGTACCTGTTGTGGCAGGAGGAGTCTGTTGACTCTTTTCCCTACAAGAATAAACCTCCGTCGGATCATCTCCTACGTTTTTAGGAATCCCCCACAAAACGCGTGCTTCGAAGATCTGAGTAGTGTTAACTTCAGGAATCCTTCCCACAAAGGTTAAATAGTAAAGAAGACCACAGCAACCTTTTACATTTGCTTTTTTCAACTCCAGAAACTTATAGTTTGTTTTCTGAAAGAAACATAACGTAATTTTTTTGTTTTGTTTCTTTAAAAAGCCATTGATGATGATGATGATGCAGAGGGAACAAAATAGAGATAAAAAAAAGAAACAAGCTAACCTTTTCATTATTATAGTATTCCATGGCAGCAACACAAAGAGGCTTGAGGGTTTCAAGAGAATAGGCACTCAATACAACGGGTGTAATAAGACCGCAACAAGAAACGCCAGGAAATGATGGAACATCAAAACCCTAAAATGAAGAAAAGGGAAAATAGTTAAAAAAAAAAAGCAAAAATCAAGAGAGAAAACGCAGGTATGCAGGCTTACATCGCTGATTTCCAAAGCAGCCTTATATCGCCCAATCTCTTCGTCAGTAATCTCACGTTCACCATCGGAGTAATCCTCATCCACTGAATCGTCAGCGTCACCATCATCGTCTTCGTAATAATCCAACATCCTCCACAACGTCTCATCGTCAAAACCAAAAACGTTTACATCTCGATCTTTATTATTATTACTTTCTAATTTCTGTTGCTTCTCATGTGGTGGTTGCTCTTCCTTAACGGACGGTGCAGAAGAAGAAGGCTCTGTCGAAGCCATATCCAAGCGCAAATACGAGAGAGAAAGAGGCAGAGATCAGATCTCAAAAAAAAAAAAAAATGGAAAACGAAATAAGGAAAGGGTAGTTCTAGGGTTTTTAATTTAAGACTTAGGGGGCTGTGACTTTTATAGGGCTAATAAAATCTCATCGAAAAATGTACGACACAACAAAATCAAATTGTAGTTTCTAAAGTCTCAAAATTATGTACTTTTTTAAATATCTAATTATCTTATTTTTCGATTTTTAACATTTAAAATAAAATTATAGTATAAGATACATCTAAAATTAATTTTTTTAATTTTATTAAATCAATTAAAACAAACAAAATCAAATGGAAGTACTACTAAAAGTAATAATATTTATTTATAAACTAGTTTTTTAACTCGTACAATGTACTGAATTTTTTATTAAATTTTTTATAATTTTAAATTTATTTTTTAATTATTTATTTAACATATAATCATATATTTATAAATATTAAATTACAAGTAAATAATAATTTATACATAATATATTATAAATGATATTATTCATCTAAAAAAAATTTAAATTTTTGTAAATTTTCAAGAATTATAAAAAAAAAATTTTCATAAAAAAAATTTTTCTTCAATTTATTTACTAAATATTAAAAATTTTGTTACCACTTATTTCTTGTTTGATAAAAAATCAATTAATTTTTTTAATTTTACTAAATCAATTAAAACAAACAAAATCAAATGGAAGTAACCTTCCAGTATTACTAGAAGTAATAATATTTATTTATAAATTAATTAATTGATTTTTTATAGGGTTATAGGTTTTTATTTTTTAACCGACGTTTATAATATTAATGAGATCTGAATTTAGTAATAAAAAAATCTTAAAATTTTGAAATTTTAAATTAAATTAAATTATGATTTATTAATTAATTATAAAAATAGAATACTTCAATTTAAGTGTTACGTTAAAAAAGCCCTCGTAATATTTTGGTTTCATTAAATAATCCAACTTAAATATATTTTAAGGAATTCGCATCGCTCCTAATGTTTTTCTTTTATTGATTCAAAATTATTGATTTGGATTTATTTTAATCAGTTTAAATTTAGATTATTTTGAAGTTTGAGATACTTCGGAGGGAGTAACTTGATTGTCGAGCATTTGAATTTAATATTTAAATTATTTGATTTGAATTAGCTAAATTCATTTCATTGCAAATTCAAATTATTATTTAAAATCAAATTAAATTGGATCTCGAACGTATTAATAGAATAAAATCAAATTTTTATTTAAGTTATTTAAAGTTATATTTTCAATTTATAACATATCTTTAATTTGGATTTTTGATAATCTAAAAAAAAAGTATTTGTGAAGTATAATTGTAAAAGAGACAAAAATTAAAACTGTATAATTGCATAAATTTATTGTAATTATAATAATAGAAAAAATTCTTTTAATTTTTTTACTTATAAATTCATAATTAAGAGAATACTCATAATTAGATTTTCAAAGCTTTGTGTGATATTTATCATTTTTGTTAAATGAATATTTTAAAAAATAAAATTATTCTAAATTTAAATATGTTTTTGTTAAATAAATCTTTCAAGTTGAGTTTGGATCATTTTTAATTTAAATCAATTTGAGTTCAAATTGCTCAATATTTGAATTAATTTAAATTTAAATTATAATCGTGTTTGAATTATAATTTTTTCTGATCAACTCAAATTAAATCAGATTCAAAGAATTGATTAAATTGATTTTTCATATTCAACAACTCTATTCAAGCTCATTAATAATTAAAAGTGTAAAGGCTTGTGCTAAACAAAACTTGACAACCCCAAATACGACATATGAACTAAGGTAGAAATGACGGTAAACAAAGGCGCCAAAAATACAACACCGTGGAGCTATCCTATTTCTTTCAATCCCTTTCTTTATTTCTTTCTTCTTTTTTTTTGTCATGTTTATGTAATTAGTAAATTACACCTTCTGATCATGTCTAAAAATTTGAAACACATAGACAACTATTTGTCTTTTTAAAACATTATTCAACACATATTATAGTATGTTCTCTTCTAATTATTTATTTTAATGTTGTTTCGTCAATTTGTTCTACATTTTGATTTGAATAAGATAAGTATCATAAATGGGAAATAATAATGCAATCTTTGTTATCTAACTTTTTATTTCATATTAATGTTATAAAAAGTTTTTTTTGGTGTTTAGTGTCTATGGATATTAATGACAATGCTAAGCAAGGGGGAGCTGACATTTTAAGATGAAATATAAATAATAATAAAATAGATTTTGCCTTCATCATCTACAAGAGTAGCAAAGAAAAGGAAAACAAGTCATTCTCTGTTTATTCTAAAGTCAATGTTTAAAGCACCTTATATTACCAAATATCTTAAACACACTAGAAAAATAATATCAGAATGCTATCTAATAATATTAATAATAATAAGGTCTAAACCCATAATCCAAACAAGAACTTCATTATACAGGAATGGTTTAGATAATAACATAAGTCGAATAGCTGATACAGAGATATCTCTCTTCCCACATTTTCAGGGATACTAACGATTATTTATTTGTTATATGTACTTGGCTTCCCCAAACATTTTATCATTAACTGAATGGCCATGGTCCACCTGCCATGACAGCTTCAATCTCCCATGTCTTCCGAGGTACTTTTGTCATGTTCTTGCTCCCATTGGCCGTTACAAGCTACAAGAAGAAAGGAACAGTGTGATTAAGTGGGAACACCAACAGAGCAAAAGCACAAACTCAACTCTAACTGTATTATTACAACAGATGTGGCACAAACATGGAAGTTCTATAACTAGATTCATCCCAAACGAGCAAGCTGCAAAACATCCATGGCTTTTATACAGGCCTAGAGCCAATACCCACAAATGCCACAGATTCTACAGGAGATTATCCATACTCCTAGCTACTTAAAGTGGGACAATCAAATTCATAAACGGAATTGTTAGAACACACTTGGAAGATTCTCAATCAAAACTTCCTTCAGCCAAAATCTCAGTTTGGTGCCATGAATTTTGATTAAGTTTATTAACAGCATATGGAAATCTACTACCTATTTCTAGATGCATTTAAATGTTAATACGGGAGAGAGATGATGTATATTAAACTATAATTGAAACATTGACAAACTACTTATACATGTAAATTTAAATGAGGCAGGAAATTTTGGACTTGAATGATTGTAAGATTAAGTAAATACAATACCACATCACTTTCTATTCGAACTCCACCAAAATTTTTAAATCCATCCACTACTTCACAGTTGAAGAACTTTGAAGTTTTTGCATTTTCCATAGCCGGAACCAACAATGCATCAATGAAATAGCATCCAGGCTCCACTGTTATCACCTACAAGAAGATGATGAAAGATCGACATGTGTTCTCCATGTTTGATGCAGTGATTAAATTCCATGTGCAGAACATTTTATGATAAATAACAAAATATCACTTCTAAGAAAAACCGTCAAACTAATAGATATAATGCGAATTTTTTTCAAAAAATTTAACTACTTCATGCACTACCATGATGTCATAGATATAAAATAAAAGCAACTAATTGAACATTAAAGAGGAGTTACCTCAGGGATTTGATAGAAAAATAGTCATTATGCCATAACTTATGTTCTAACAAAGCAAATTAGAGGTCTAATGGTTGACTGAGATTAATTATGACCTGAGAACCAATAATCAATTGGAACAGTTGACATTGAAACCTTGGAAATAAATTCAAGGTCTAAAATTTTAATAGAGAGTGATGTCAGTGGCAGCCATTAATTCCAACAAAAGGTTATGCAGCAATTTAATTCATATATACCATACAAAATTATTTTTCAAATTCAAACTTGAGCAATGCTTTCGTAAGAAGAAACAAATGTTTTAATTTAAAATTAGTCATGCAACATTGTGATATCATTCAACTAAAAAAGTATCAAAAAGACATATAATGTTTAACCAGTTTACACAGAAATAATAAATATATAATACTGAGCTGATCATAGTAAACTCCTTTGACAAGAAAAAGGCAAAAACTATAACTTACCATTCCCTCCTGCAGTTGTCTAGCAGTACGCAAAGACTTCAAACCAGGTTCTTTTGGTCTTTCTACTCCCTGTAAGATTTTCCAATCCTTCCAAACGTAAGGGAAATGAAAGCTGTAGCTACTAACAAAATAAGAAGAAAAGGAAGACTAGTATAGAGATCAAATCCATAAGCAGATAAGTTGCTACTAACAAAATGAGAAGAAAAGGAAGACTAGCATAGAGATTAAATCCATAAGCAGATAAGTTAATCTCACAAGGACCTTTGGATAACCTCCAGGATCATGAGTATCAATACCCAATAAATGGCCCAGACCATGAGGCATAAAGATAGCACCAACTCGTTCAACCATCATATCAATCAACATTTCTACAGTAAAAAAATGAATCGAGGTACTTATATTATTTACTTCTAATAGTAGTATCTAGAAGGGAATGGAAGAACAAGCTCATCAAGAAATAGAATTTACCCAACAAGGAGGTTTCCCTTTTTCAGTGACTCCAGAATGATTTTCTCAGCTAATCTGCAATAGATAGAAAGGAAACAAGTAATACAAATTGAAGATAAAAGAAAAATATTATAAGGAAATTATTTTACGAGCTCTTTGGCCTTACTTGTGCATATCTACCCAGCTTACACCAGGTTTCATTGTGGTTATAACAGCATTGTGAGCATCAAGGACAGCCTGTGGAACATTTAAAAGGGTTGTTTTTTCTTTTTCTTTTAACAGTCAACTCAATATGAGTTCTCATAGGATGAAACTTGATATAATTCCCATCAAGTATTGATCACAGAGTAGAGAACTTACATTATATATAAGGCTTTGATCACTTGTAAACTTCCCATTCACCTGCACAAACAGTAGATGTATTTTAGAAGGAAAACGTCTACCATCATACACTATAGAAAAAACAGGTCCCTTACTCCTAATACCAGTAGCATGGTAGAATTTTGATTTTCCTAAGATATATCAGTATTCTCTACACAATGTAGAAAACTTAAATTATCCCAATCGTCAGCTGCAAAAACTGCAGTAAGAAACTTAAATAATATGTGCAGCCCTAAAACAAATACATACTGCCCATTCCCTAAGCGACTCAGCCCCAGAGGTCACAAGATACTTACTGATAACTCCACATAAGACAATAATTGGACATGTTCTGCTTTGCATCTTTGGACAAATGCTTATGATAAATGCTATCCATTCAATTTCTTTTTCTTTTTTGATTAATCAGTCAATATATAATGTTACGGCAAAATTAATAAAACTGAAAGATCCAGGAAGGACTCAAGCAAGGGAGAATATTGAGATTCCTGTTGTGATATGCTGCCAGTAATGCTTCAATTGAAAGTAAAGGACCCATTATCCAGCATTCAACACAACAAGCAAAGAATTTTAATTTGCAAACTAAAGTGACATACTCACAGGGATGATGGGCATGTAATGTCCAGATCTCGTAGAAACTGTATTCAGCTCCCCTATGTGGTCAAACAAGGCCATATCTCCATCTTCTAAGATCTGCAGGAAAGCATTATTAATATTCAAAGCTTACAAACTACTTTCATTTTTATCAAGAATTAACTTCCATACCATCAATTTGAAACTCTTATTGGGAACTCAAGTCATTAAACCTAATGCCGATCATGTTGTTCTTGTGGCAGATAAACTAACATAAATGCAAGCACTAAAGGACAAAGGACGAAATTATACCCTTCATTAGGAGCAGCAGCATGTCCATAATGTAGAACAGCACTGCCACCATGGAAACATAAGAATCGTATGTTGTCCGAATCTCATATCAATATATTCATAGCTCAAATATTAATCTACAACAGGTAAAACTTTACAGATAAAATCCACAATTCACAAGTGCAGACATTCTAAAATTATACACAATGACAAGTTGAGTACCAATCTTGACATTCAAATGTTTCATAATAATAATATATTAACTGGAATTTTATAACAATGTAGCTATCATAGGTTTCATTTCTCCCGATGTTAGTTTAAAAGGAAAATCCTCAACAAATGGGCACAGAAACATTACTAATGTGCTGTTATTAACTCATTGCATGTACTGAACAAGAAACAATCAGAGCCTCACATAATCCTCACCTATTTTCACCTGTAGCACAAATACATGTGTATGAACAGTGCCTACAGCCACCATACATGTAGGTGTGATGAAGAAACATGCTTTCCAACTGATATTCTTTCATACCTGCTTTAGCTTTTCTCATAACCTAGTTAAATAGAACATAGCAAGTATATGTTAAATTATCAATATCAACAATACACTTGGGAGACAATTCTGCCAAGAAATTAAAAAATGCAGATGAAGTAAAAGATGAAAAAAAGAAAGAAAGAAGAACTAAAATCATGTAGAATGACAGATTATATCTGAAAATTATTTGCTTATATATGCCAAGAAAAATATATAATTGATTACCTCAACATGAGCTTCAGAACTTATATCATTGGCAAATTGGATAAGAGCAAGCTCCGAGTCTGACTTAAGAACACGGCACTCAGTCAATACAGGATGCAGAGTTGTCAAATCTGTCTCAAAATTTTCTATTCCCTAAAAACAAGAGAGAAGGAAATAAAAAATAAATAAATAAAAAACAGTATAAGCCACTAAACAGAAATATGGCACTTTTACATAACATCGTAAAAATTGAGTGAAACATAATGCACTACTTCAGTACCTCTAACATTAGAAAAGTACACTAGAACTTGAGAAAAAAAAATCACCCTTTTCCAAAAGTAAAACGCAAATGAAAGTAGAATCAAGGATGAGATATAGAACCTCAAAATTGGCGGGTTTTGAGAAATTATTGCTATCAGTGTTAAGCCCATGTAAGAGGAACAACAAAGGTTTTCCAGACCCCTTGTAGTGGTCAACCAAGACTTGAGCAATCTCATCAGTATAGTAGACCATGCTAACCTTATACCTTTCCTGCCAACAAGAATGTAAACATAAAAGGCATAAACATTCGGACGCGCTAGCAGGACAAATGGAAAACATGATAGAATAGTTACCTGAAAGTAGGACAGTGGCTTTATTTCCCCCAACCAAATAGCATAATCAGCAGGTAACCTAGGCGCAAATAGAATCGATTTCCCAGTTGCAATGTCCTTTAGTTAGTAAAAGAAGAGAAGTTTATCAAATTCAACAGTTTATAAGTTCGATAAGCTCTACTATCTAAAAAAGGAATCAGCACTTAAAAAAATGTAATTTCAGAAAAAGAAAAAGGGTATAATATGGAAATTAATGCAAAGAACTTACAATAGCACCATAGAAACCAGGCTCTCTCACACCAAACAGATAAGCGAAGTAACTCTCCTGCCTAAACAAACGATTGATTATAATAAAATTTAAATTACAGCACCGTACTGAATTGTAATTTAATTGAAAGTTTATAAAGAGCAAGGCTTGGTCGAGGTACCTAAAGAGCTCGATGTGATCAGTGCAATAGCGTGTTTGCTCTTCGCCGCCCTGTTCGATCGATTAATCCAAGAAATTTAACTTCGACGAAGGCGTTTTATGGAAGAAAAATATTGAAAAATGGGTGATTTAAAAGTACCTGAAGGAGGACGAAGCCGTGTAGGGGGCGAGAGGATTCGGAGAGGTGCTGGCGAAGACAATTGAGGAGCTTTTGACGGTTAGAGATGTGGAGCTCCATGGGGACCTCCGGAGGGGAGAGAGACGACGGTGATGTTGAAGCCATGGAAATAATGGCTTCTTCTCTCGTCGGTTTCGCCAATTATAAGCAACTGAGCGGCCTTCTGTTTCGAAAACTCATTCGTAGACACGACCCAACAGGATCACATGGGCATTGAATTGGGCCCCAATCGGTCTCTTTTTTTAAAGATTGGTCCTTTTTTTATTAAAAAAAAATTGTCCTTTTCTTCTTGCACAGTCGTAAGGGAATATATTAGCTGGAATATAATGACAACTTAACTATTAAAAATTTAACTATTTGTATTATCGTGTTATTTAAAATATTATATTTATATTATATTTTATAAAAATTTTATGTATTTATAATTTATATTTATATAAAAATATAAAATATAATTTTTGGATTTTATTAAATATATTTATAATTTTTTTAATATTTTTAATAATTTTATTTATATATTTTTTATTTATATCATTTTATATTATATTATCATATTATCTTTTAAATTATCAGATCCTCATAGTTTTTTAGCCTTCAAAGATAAAATATGACTCTCTCATAAAATATATTACAAGATAATAGTTAAATGCATCCTACAGTTGAACACATCTTAAGTATTGTAGTAGATAAATTTAATTTAATTAGTTAATATACTTATTTTTTAAAAGTAAAATTTAATTTAAAATTTTTTAAAATTTCAACTTTTTTGTATTAAAAAAATAAAATAAATAAGGAATATTAAAAAAAATAAACAATATAAACATACTGTTTTTATACGCATGAGATTTGAAATGTTAGTTATAAATGGTTAGTAAAAAGGGGGAAAAAATCTAACTATTAAATTATTGACCCATTGCCCTTTTGCCAGAAATTTATTGACCCATTTGAAATATTTTAATAATAAATTTATTTATATAATAATATCTTAATAAATTATTCACATTGAATAACTTGGATTCTGAGTAAAATATGGACCAACAAAAGTACCCAAAGAAAGTCAGGCCTTTAATTGTTTCTACATGATATGTGGCCGGCGGAGGAAAGGCGCAAGCAACTTACTTGACGACCATACGGGGATAAAAAAAATTTTAAATAAATATTTTTATAATTTTTATTTATATTTTTAATTTAAAATTTAATTTAATTAATTTATATAAATTATTTTTAAAATATAATATTTAATATATTTAAAATTTTTTATAAATAATAATAATAAATATTGTTGCATTTTATTTAATTTTAACATTCGAATACAGTATTTTGTGAGCCAGTGCCTTTTTATAAGACATTTTATTAGCCAGTAGCACAATCAAAAGAGTAGTTTAATAACAATTTTATTTAATAAAATAATAGGTTAAGTTTTAATGCCTTTCAAAAATAATCTTTGTGAATATTATTCCCAATCTTATCTTTACTTTTTTAAAAAATAATGATTTAGTCAAGTCATTTTTAGATATGAATACTTATAATTTTTTGTCTACTTTGAACATAGACTTTTTTATTAAAAAAAATCATGCCATTTTTTTTCATTGTAATAGTAAAAATATATTAATTTTATTATTTTTATAAAAAATTTTATCTTTGATAAAACCATTTTAAAGAAGAAAAGGAAAAAGATGTTCTAAAAATTCTTTTAAGTGTATAAAACATATAACATTATAAGTGAAAAATAACAAAATCATAATTGAAAATATCAAATTTACACATATTTAATGAAAATTTTAATTTTTATCTGAATAAAAATGAATATTATATTATTAGATAAAAATGTATATAATTTTAAAATTTTAAAAGATATGAGATGAATACAAAAAATATAACACTTGCTCTTATTCATACCTTTATTATATATATTTATATATAATTAGTAAATAATTTATTTATTAAATAATTTAAATTATTATTTTAAATTAATTAAAACTAATATTTTTATTTAAAATATATATTAATATATTTATAAAAAATTTACATAAATATATAATATAAAACTTTTAAAAAAGCTAAAAAATAAATTTTTATTTTTATTTCTTTAAATTACGAGTACAAAATATTTATACTGATTAAATATTCATAAAAATAAAAATAAATTTTAAATATTTGTTAACTATAAATACAAAAATTAATAAAGTAAAAAAAATAAAAAAAAACTATATATTTTACGCGCTCAATATCTTATCTAATGGTAAACCTTTTTCCATATCCTGTTTTTTTCCTTCGTCTTCCCTGCTTCGGTTATTGATTTAAATTATTCGTACAATTAAATTATCCAAAAAAAAAAAGAAAAACCTGAAATAAATTCGTTGAAATTACAGACTGACCCCTTCCAATTACATAAATTAAAAACAGAACCTCAAATAAACCCCAAAAGGGGTCATTAGCGAACGAATTCTTCTGATCCCAAAAGCTCGCTCTTTTTTCTAAGTGGGGAGAGTAGCCAAGATCAGTCCAATACCCGTCCCCCTCTCGTCTTTCCCTTCAATCGATAAAACGCTTTCTTTCATCTTTGCTTTTCTCTCATCAAAGGTAAGATTCACTTCCTTTGTTTAGATTGACAATTTAATTGATTTGAAAATATCTCTCAGTGTTCTCTTATCATTTTATTCTCAGATCTATTGATTTTAGTGCTCGATCCCTATCCAAAGTTCTATTATTTTCACTATTGATTGCTTTTTATGTTATTTTTAGGGTTTTAATTAGCTGGTCTCATGTTCTTTTTATTTCCACATATTTTTGTTATTTTAGGTTTTTCCAAGGTATTTTTCGGAAAAAAAGAAATTTTATTTTTTAAAAAATTATTTTATGTTTTATATATGGTGCAGATTTGAGGGGAGATTTTGATGGCGTCAAAATTGCAGCAGTTGCAATCTAAGGCATGTCAAGCATCGAAGTTTGTGGCCACGCACGGAACTGCTTACTACAAGCAGTTGTTGGAGCAGAACAAGCAATACATTCAGGAACCACCGACAGTGCAGAAATGCAACGAGTTGTCTAAGCAACTGTTTTACACTCGCCTTGCTAGGTATTCGTTATTTGCGCCTATCATTTTACTGCCACGAAGACCCTAAGTTCCAATGAGTTGATTGCAATGTGTCTTTTAGTATCTGATATTTATTTTTCTCTGTTGTCATGATGCGACAATGTATTTTGCTTGCGATAGTGAGTTATTGAATTTGCCTGCATCAAAATTGACTACTAAATGTATATTAACATGATTTTTATGTATTGTACCGACATTAAATCATATAAACAAGATTTGATATGTGTCAGCCTAAGTGACTGATGATTAAAATTTCCTCTTTGACATGGTTACTAAAAACTGTAGTGAAGGAAATATGTTATAACTAGTCCAAAATATCAATCAAGTTGATTTCTAGCGGTATCTCTTAGGTGCAAACCAACTGAAATCATTTTGTTGTTGATAGAGGTGGCAACAAATGAAGTGGTAACGTCATTGTCCATGTAGCCGTAAGATGTCAACTGCTATTGTTAAGCTAATGATTATGGTGTTTTTATTGGTATCTGCTAATTTTGTTTATGATATGAAACCATATGTGGTTGTTAGTAGAATTGGACAAATTGATAGTATTTGTTGGCATTTTAGATGTTACTTGGGGCATGGCGTTGGTAACCCCTTGTGCATTGACTTTGGTTGATATCTGGCTGCAAAATCACTCACTTATAGTGTAATGTGTTCTCAATCTTCTCATATTTCCATATTTATCTTGCATTATACATGAATTTCTACAGTTTTTCAGTGTATTCAGATGTTTCGTGTTTTGATTGAGTTACAAAATTTGTGGATGAAGCATGGTATTAGGATTCGAGTCTGCTAGAGATGAGTTTTGTTTGGCATGTTAATAGGAAGGTTTTGGATGGCCACAGTGAGAGAACATTTGTCAATGGGACAACTTGGATTTAGTGTAGGAAGTGAAAGTCATGCTGTAGAAATTGAAAGACCTTGGATGATCTTCTGGCAGTATATTGCTATCTATATAGGGTTAGAATTCATTTTTCCACCATGCCTCTGCGAAAAACCATTTTCTGGAGGATTCTCTGGAAAATGTCATTTTATTACTCCTCTCTTATAGTATGTGGCTCGTGTTTGGAAGTTTCCTAGTTTCATATTCACGAAGAAGAATAAAAGAACAAAACAATGTGGCTGGGTTGCTTTCTGAGGTTGCTTATGATTGTGCTTGTTACAAAGAGTAAACGATAATGCTTCATATATATCTTCGCACTGCCTTAATTTGCAATTTCATTTATATCTTCTTACTGCATTAATTTGCAATTTCTTTGTTGATATATGTTGTCTCATTAGAAACAAATATTAGTTTACTCTATGTTGGCAGTAATACTGGCGAAAAATCAAGGTCACAAGTTGATATCAGAATAACTCCTTTTGATGGGATTTTTGCAGTATCCCTGGTCGATCTGAGTCATTCTGGAAGGAGCTTGATTATGTCAAGAATCTGTGGAAGAACCGGGCAAGAACTGAAAGTTGAAGATGCTGTATTGCTGCTTTGTTTGGACTGGAGTGCTTTGCATGGTTTTGCGCTGGTGAGATAGTAGGAAGGGGTTTTTACTTTCACTGGTTACTATGTCTAAGGTGACAGCCAGTGGAAGGTCTTTCAGGGATTGGATGTATGCTTTTATCATCATTTGCATGATTGAATTGCGGCCACACTTTAGATGCACATTTTTGTTGTTTCATGAAAATTTTGAAGCTGAGAAATCAGTGGTTACATTGATAGCCTGAATAATTTTAATAGTTGATAATGCATTAGGTGATAAACCTTGCTGTTGTCTCGTGATATTCACAAAATTTATTTCAACCAAGATTGATGATAATGGTGCAAATTGACCTCTTTCTTATCTCCACTAGGCTTCCATTCCATTCTGTGGTCGTCTCCAATCTAAGACTAATTCTTCAATTTATTTGTGGATGAATCTGCTCCTCTATCTTGATTTGGAATTTGAACTATATAAATAGATTTCCGTCATTTTATCTGCTACACTTTGCTTAATAGAGCATCAATTGCTCTCGATTTGGCGTTTGCACGAATGAAGAATCGAAAGGATCGATATTTGTTAAAAAAAAAAAGGTTATTTGATTATTCTAAAGGGCATGAAAAATAAAAAATATAAATGTGTAATTGTAAATTTGATTGTTTCTTACTGCTGAATTGAAACTTATCAGGCTTTCAGGAGCTGGGTTTTAGTTCGAAAAAGTGCATAGAAAATAATTCAACGTGGCGAAACATTAAAAGCCGTTTTGGGAGAAAAAGGAGAAGAAACTCGCCACAAAAGCATGGAAATAAACTACCTCTTTAGGGGCAAAATAGTAAATCCAGTATTGGTCACACGTTTCTTACGCTATTCTCCAATCTGAGTTAGTTTAGATTCATTCCCTGACTGAGAAGCACTAGAAAGCAAACTGACCACAGGTTTTTTTTTTTTTTTTTTAAATGAACGAAGAAAAGGGCAAGAAGAAACAAAACGACATTTCAATTTCCGCGAAATTCCATCGATTCATATAGCTTTCTTCTCCTCTAAGATCCCAATTTTCCGTTAACAATCATCGCGCAAATCAAAAGCACATCTCACTTACCACGGCCTCATTCTAATTTTTTTTTTTTTAAAGAAACCCTTTAATCCTTTCCATTACCGTATCATCCAATTATCAGACACGCTTAAAAAAAATGCTTCACAGAAGCTTCAAGCCAGCCAAATGGTAAATTATTTTTGCTTAATTTTATTTCAGCACCTGTTTTGATTATTGAATTTTGTGTGGTTTTTGGATCGAAGAGGAAGTGATAGTTTGACTTTTTTTTTGTTTTGAATTTTTTTAAAAAATTTGATTTGATGCAGTAAGACAGCTTTAAAGCTAGCGATACCGCGAATAAAGCTTATGAAGAACAAGAGGGAAGCACAGGTTAAGCAGTTAAAGAGGGAATTGGCTCAATTACTGGAGTCAGGGCAAGATCAGACGGCCAGAATTCGGGTACTGAATTTTGATAAAAGTTTTATAATCATGATTTTGTTTGTAATTGTTGTGGTATTGATTTTGGGTTTCTTTTTTCAGGTGGAACATGTGGTTAGGGAAGAAAAGACGGTGGCAGCGTATAATCTTCTCGGGATATACTGTGAACTTATCGTGGCACGTATGCCGATCATTGAGTCTCAAAAGTGTGTAAAAATACTTTCTTTAGTATTTCAAATTTCGATTTTATTCGCTCTTTTACTACAGATGCATATGGAATTAGGGAAACTTTTATCGAGTTTGCAAATGTTTGGACTTTGAATGAATATGGGAAAATAGGCCTTCATTGTTAAAGCAATTAGACCTTGTCTTTAAAACTCTTTAGTTGCCTTAATCCTTGGCAGAAATGACGTTCAGTCCAACTGCCAAAAACTACTTTAGTTAGAAACTAAGTAAAGTGGCACCTTCGTTAGAGTTTGGATTGTCTGTTTATTTCACTGGTTTTGAAAAGCTGGATATGTGTGCTTAAATGCATTGGACGATAAACATCCTTGGATGGATAAATGTATTAGCCTTGTTCGTGGAGAGGATGATTTTATTAAGTGTTTTTGGTCATTCAGCCAGATTAAATTTTGTCAATTGCTATTGTTTTAATAACTTTGGGTGTGTTTGATCTGAATTCAGAAAACTGCCCATTGACTTGAAGGAAGCAATTTCAAGTGTCATATTTGCATCTGCAAGGTGCGAGATCTAGGGTTACCAGAACTCAAAGATGTCTCCAAACATTTTACAGCAAAATATGGAAAAGAATTACTTCTGCGGCTCTTGAACTGCGACCTAATTGTGGTGTTGGTCGTATGGTAAGTTTGTACAGAACATATCACTCTGAATAAACAAATAGTTGAAATAAATAATCAGCATCATTAGACCAATTCAAAGTATGATTGTATTATTATTCACTGATCCTTACGTTTTCTCCTTTAGTTGGTCGAGAAATTATCTGCGAATGCACCTGATGGTCCAACCAAACTAAAAATTTTGACTGCAATTGCTGAAGAACACAACATCAAGTGGGATCCTGAATCATTTGGAGCAAAAGAATCAAAGATTTATGAGGACTTGCTGGTAAAACGTGCAAAATAGGTTTTTTTGTTTGATATGCCAATATATAACCACACTTAGGATCCTCCTTAGAGAAATATTCTATTAGGAAGTGCTTTTGTGTTGTTATTTGCTTGTCAAAGATTGAATATTTGCTCGACAACTTATGTTCTTTCCATATGAATTTGCTTGTGCAGAATGGACCAAAAGCAGAGGCCACCAAAATTTTGGCAGATCCTCCTAATGCCCATGCTTCACCCAGTCATTATGAGCAGAGACCTAGTGTTCAAGTTCCTAATTATGATAAGGGGCCTCCTAATGTTGAAGATCCCAAACATATTGAAAAAAACAATGCGTCCGCAAGCTTCTATGACCAAAGCTTAAGATCATCTCCTCACCCTAAGAATTTTAATTATTCAAATAGTAGTGCCGATAATTCGATGTCCTCTGGAACTTGTCCTCCAAATTCAAAACCTCACGGTATGTTAATTTTTAGGTTCAAACATGGGGATTTATAAACTCTTTTGGTCTTTTTTTTTTACCTAATTTTTCACTTAGCTTATTCATTGTCTGTTAATTATTAGTTTATATTTGGGTTTTTACAGGAACTGAAAATCACAGGATGCAATACAGGAATTCATATCCTGGGAATGAGAGTGCTTTATCTTCATCAAGGCAACATTGGAATATGGAATTCAAGGATGCTACTGCTGCTGCCCAGGCAGCAGCAGAATCTGCAGAGCAAGCGAGTATGGCTGCCCGAGCTGCTGCTGAACTTTCAAGCCGTGGAAATATCTCCCAGCACCAGCAGTATTCAACAGAATCACACATGTCATCTGCTCATAGTATGAGAGAAGAGGAACCGCGAAAGTATACTGGCTCAGCATCTCACAATGAACATCTTGCTAAACATCCAGTTAATATTTCCCGTTATGAAAAGAATTCTAGGAATTATGAGCAAACTGACAGCAGTGAACAACATAACCGACCAGGAGAAGCTGAAAATGTTTATATTAACATAGTGAGCAGTGATAAATCCACTGACAGTTCCTATAAGTCGACTGCAGCTTCCTTCAATGAAAAACCATCACTAAATGATCAAATTGCTGATGCATATTCCCAAAGAAACTCGTCTGAAGGCAGGCAGATGAAGCGTTTTGCTGAAATGAGTATGAACAGAAACTCAGGTGAAAATGGGATGCAATTTGTGAATGAACTGCATGATATTAAGAATCCTCAGAATGTTGATCATCATGAAGTCAGGGTTGGGGGACAATCAAGCTATTCTTCTTCTCATTCTCAATCAAACACGTATACTGATGATCATGTCTTTGTCTCTAATTTAAATTGGCAGAAGTCAGAAAATGACCTGAGAAACTCAGGTGAAAGCAGGATGCCGTTTGTGAATGAACTGCATGAAACAAAGAATTCTGATTCTGCTGATTATCAGGAAGAAGGGATCAGGAAGCAATCAAGCTATTCTTCGTCTCATTCTCTTTCGAGTACTTTTTCTGATGATCATGATGTTGTATCAAATTTTAATCAGCAGGTTAGGATAATTCTGCGAGGATCCTTTCTTCTCATGATAAGGAAGCCTTCAAAGAAGCGCAAAAGAAACAATAGATTCTCAAATGACAATGCCTCCGCATTTTTTGAGATTATGGATCAGATATTGAGAATGTAGTTTGATTTGGAGGAAGAGCATAAGGTACATGAATACAAGTATGAACTTTTCGTCCCAGTTCAAAGATCACCTACTCATCCATTTACAAGTACAAATCCTTGGAGCGTTGAGCAGAATTGTGGGTCACCTGAAAAGTCCATTTCCACAATCACATATTTTGCTAGAGCAGCAGTCTACTCCTGTTTTCTTTGAAGGTTCAACTGGCGCTGCGAGTTCCTTCACGATGGAGTGACCTGCCTGCCACTTTCGATGATTATGGCCCTGGATCAGAAAGTGAAGAAGAGGTAGACAAATCTAAGTTTGTTAGGACTGATCCTAGTGTAGGTAGTCATAAAAAGAATATTGATTCTCACCAAGCTGAAAACAGTATTTTCCCTCCGAAGTTGGCTGAAGACATTGAAGATACTGAACCTTCTTATGATTCTAGTCTGGAAGAAAGTAAGGAATTGAAACCTTCTTATGATTCTAGTCTGGAAGAAAGTAAGGAATTGAAACCTTCTTATGATTCTAGTTTGCAAGCAAGTAAGGAATTGAACTTTGGAAACTTGACAGGTGGCCTTCGAAATAAGGGTTATAGGCGACCACCATATTCAAAAACTCCACGAGGCAATGCTTTATCCTCTGGAGAGGCAGCCAATGATATATCTACCAGATTTAAGCAACCATCCCCTCCTGCAACAGTGGAGGCTTCAATTAGTACTGGATCTATCAATCAAGAGCCATACGGTAGGAAAGTGAGTGAAGAAGTGAATAGAAAACTCAGCACGAGAGCATCAGTTACTCATGTTGATTCTAGTGATGATGACTCTGAGGGGGAACGACCAAAACAAACTTTTAGTAGCACTCAAGACCAATACAACAAAACGCCATGCTTTGAAGAAAATAAAACATCAAGCTTAAGGGTCCCTATCTCTTACTTTGGTTCAGGAAATATTGATTCTGATGAGGATCTTCCTAAGCCAAGTCTAAAGGCTCGCTCAAATGCTGGTTTTTCTCAAAGAACAAAGGCCTCTCCTTCAAATTCACGAAGAAGTTCCAATCTTAAGACTACAATTTCCTCGCAACCAACAGTAGTTTCTGACTATGGTGGGGAGAAGGATTCCTCCTCAAGGAGTTCTAATGCTGATGAAGCTCTACCAAAGTCTCAGTCTCGGAAAAAGAACTCAGATCACTGCGAAAGTTTTCAGCATGCCCAGTTGGCATCACAAGCAACTTCGAAGCTGGTTTCAGAAACCAAAAGGTCTTCATTTGATGGAACTTTGAAGTCATCAGAAAAGGAACAGCCATCAACTTCTGTCCTGAAGATTGAAGGCTCAAACTTGAAGGCTCAAACTTCAATTGGGGAGGGATCATCTAAGGGGAGTGTTAGCCATGTTCACCCAAAGCTTCCTGATTATGATATCTTGACCGCACACTTAAATTCTCTCAGACAGAATCGCCAATGAATATAGGATCTTTTTTTTTTTTTTTTTTGCATTCTAATATGGTGTTTCATATGATAATTACTTATATTTTCAATGTGCATGTTTATACAGGTTCTTTTCGAGGTTAATAGGGATGTGTAATATAACCTGTCAAACTAGAGTCACGATATTATTTGTTATTGATTTGCTTTCTTAAACTTCTTTTATTTGAAACTTGATTTCATAATCAAGTTTATTGATTTGGGACTGGAGAATTGAGAGTGGAATAAGTTTCTCAGGCTGAGTCTCGTGTGGTTCAGTCGTGTTTTTGGCTTATATTAGCATGTCAAGAATTTCAGTTTTTGTGGATGTGAATATGTGAAGAGTGCAATTTTAGCCATTCAGGGAGATGTCAATATTAACTTGATTCAAGCGACTATCGCCCCTAAACTCTAGGGAGTATCATTTTCAGCCATGGCTTCTCTGCAAAATTCCTACTTTTGTTCCAGCAATTTTATGTTGCTCAAGGATACGATAAAATCGAGTTGAGGGTGCAAGGGTATTTTAATGTCCTCAATCTTGACTTGTTCAGTAAACCATACATCAGTGTCCGATGATCTTCTATGCATAATCCAGTAGAAGTTGTTCCAACGTGTGATGGTCTGCTAACAACGATAATGTTTTTGTCAAGTTGTAAGTTCCAATGGCTACATCTGGCATGCATAAAATATGGAATATCAAATGAAATGAGGTTTTGTATTTTTGTCATCTATTTTAAAACAAGAAGTAAATATTAAAATGTAAATGTAAAGATAAGCTATTTTTTTCTTTTTTCAGGAAAATATATGCTTGATTTATGAAGAAATAAAAAGAAACGCTTATCTTTGGCCTTCTATAAAACAAATCAAGCACGTGGGAAGATTCTACGTTGAAACTCCATCGCTCGTTTTGGTGAGCATATGGTAATGCACTAATGACATGACTCTACGTCTATGCTGTTTAAAAGAAGACAAAATTTTCTATTACCCTGCAAACAAAGTAAAATGTTAAAACTCCCATTAAAAAAAAAAAACAAATTAGGCCTGTTTAAAGATCAAACTATTTATTCAAATCTAAAAATCTAACTCAAATTTTGAGATGATTTTAAAAAATTAAAATTTGTTAAATGAATTTGAATATAATTTTTAAATTTATTTAAATTTTAAATAAAATAATTAAAATTCTAATTTTTTTATTTAATTCGAATAAATTATATATAATTAAAAATTATAATTTATTAATATAAATACGAATTTTTATTTTTATATATTTTTAAAAAAACTATTATATAAATTAAATTTAATAAATAAATTTAAATTTAAAATTTTAATTTAAATCAAATTTTAAAATATTTAAAATATTAAATTATATCAATCTAAATAAATATATAAATTATTAATATTAAATATATACCGTACCCAAATATGATAGATTCATATCTTTATTTCCTCACACGTAGCGTCGAAGGGCCAGAACTTTTTTATTAAAAAAAGCTAATTATTGTTTATTCTTATCGCCGTATTTTCTTCACACGAAAGTGAGAGGGCGCTAGGCAGTGGTTGGGGGATAGAAACTGAAAGTCAACAAGTACTTGAGAGAATCAAAGCCAGCGCCTTCTTCCTGGGCCCAAGGTAATCCCACCTCTCTTTTCTTTCAGTTTGCATCTAACACTATAGAAATTTCTCCTACTGTCAAGGCTATATTTGGTATTCATAGCTCAACTTGATCAAATCCCAATCTTCTTGATAACCATTCAAACTAAACGAAACTTTCTGTTTGATATATGGGTTCATGTTGTTTTGTCTTATTTTGTTTCAAAGTTTTAAACTTTGTTTCTGCCAAACAGAACCCTTCTATTGTTTGATTTGTCACAGGATTCAAGGACCATTTAACTCACACTTTTAATTATGAACTTTGTGTTGCTGCTGATATGTTTACGTAGATGATTCAAGTTGAAACAGAAATATTTTGGCTGGTTTATTTGTTAAAGTTCATTGGTTTTGGGAATGAGGATTTTGACAAGGAGTGGTCAATGGTTAATTGGTTTTAGGGTTTAGGGGTCATTTTTGGAAATGCATTTTTTGGGGGGATTTGTCGGTTTGATTGGATGTAAAGTAAGTTGTAACTTGAAAGCACCCGTTCACATCCTTTGGATTTCCATGAACAATTTTCCCAGGTACTTCTGCTGTCCTATTTTCTCACAACTACGTACAGGACCTAAATTTAATCATAGTTTTTTATAGCTCTAAAGGTCGTGTTTGGCATGTAAAATGATAGATGAGATATGATGATAATCACATATTATGTTTGTTTTATATTTAAAAAAGGATAGGATTGTAAAGAGAATTAATCATTTTTTTTGTATAAGATGATTCAATCTTCTTAAAATGTATAGAATTATTTTTAATCTATGATAGTAAACTTACATGTGTTATTATACATTTAAAAATTACATCAATAATTTAAATTGTATAACTTAAAGATAATTTTAATCAATAAATAATTATTCTATTTTAATCTTTGCACACATCAAACATACAATAAGATGACGTTTTTAATTTAATCTTATTTATAATATCATCTTATCTAATTTTTTCATATTTTGTGTACCAACCACATCCAAAAGGTATTATCATTGGATTATATGTCTTGAATTTGATCAAATTTTGTTTTCCCTCCTGTAATAAACATTAAAATATTGGCAAATGCTCCCTCTTTAGAACTTTGGGTTGCCATTGGTTAATAATTTATGTGCCAATTAAAATCTTTGTACGTGGTCTCTAGAAGGTTGGATTTTGTGTGCCAATTAAAATCTTTGTATGTGGTCTCTTGAAAATTGAACTTGAATCTTGAATGTTAGTGGTGATTGGTGAACATGACTCCAGATATAAGACTGCCTTTCCTGCTTTTACATTTTCAAGTTACAATTACTTTTCATTCTGCAATTGGAGAACTAGTTTCCTGGCAATTGTTTTCTATTTTGTAATACGAGTTATTGTTAAAATAGTGTGAGAGCTATGGATAAAGAAAAGAAAGAATCAGTAAGTTTCACCAAGGGATTACTGCAGAGTGAAGAACTTTATCAGGTATTGTCTAATCTCTTCAATAATTTTATTTCTTATTCTGCTGTTTAGATTTTGAATTCATACTACAATAATGTTACAGTATATCCTAGAGACTAGTGTGTATCCACGTGAACCAGAGCCCTTGAAAGAGCTGAGGGATATCACTGCTACCCACCCAAGGTAAAATGGTGCTTCTTAGCCCTTGCGGCCATTTTTGTCGAACTTTTGTTTTTCCAACTACTACTCTCATTATCTTCATAATTGACTTGATTCATAGTAGATACAATAGGTGTTTTGAACTGCAAAGAGTGAAAGCATTGGCTATAATCTTACTTTCTGCAGTTGAGCAGTAAAACAGATAATGTAGACTGAAAAGTTGTGGTTCTCAACATAATCGTTCAGAGGGCCTAATGTCTTTAATCAGATCCCTTTATTTTTCAAATGGAATGAATATTGATTTGTTTCTGAAACCCTTGAACAGTGGAGCCAAAGAAACGGTATATCTACAACTAGATCATCATTCACCATGTAGATTACTCTGTTGGCCTCTGAAATGAAGTGATTATACTTACTTGGACTTTGTAGCCTTTACATCCAGGAGTGTAATTAACTCATTGTTTTCCAGGTCTATAATGGCTACTGCACCTGATGCAGGGCAGTTAATTGCCATGCTCTTGAAGCTAACAAATGCGAAAAGGACAATTGAAGTTGGAGTTTTCACTGGATACTCTCTTCTCCTTACTGCTCTTACAATTCCAGAGGATGGCAAGGTAAACAACCCATCTATTCCATCAAGACTAATACCTTAGCCCATAAGTAAACAATCTGTAGATGGATCCCCAGCTTTACTCTACAGCATTTCATACTCACTCTGCATGAAACTGTCTTAAAGACCATTTACTTGATGTAATCTACTGTTTTTACCATGCATATTTTTGCAGATTGTAGCCGTAGATTTGAATCGAGATGCATATGATATAGGGTTACCAGTTATCAGAAGAGCTGGTGTTGAAAACAAAATTGACTTCATTGAATCAGAGGCTTTGCCAGTCCTTGATCAGCTTCTTGAAGATGTAAGGATGAAGTATCTTAACTGCCTTTTTCTTTCTGTCATTGCACAAAAATCATTTCTATATTGCAAAAATTCTACATCTCCTTTCTCAGCATCCTGCATTTGTCATCCCAAAGAAGATTTTTACTAATATTTTCACTTTTATTTTATGGGGGGCATTTCTTCTTGTTGGATTGTGGATCTGTTGCAGCCTGAAAATGAAAACGGATTTGACTTTGCTTTTATTGATGCTGACAAGATCAATTACTGGAACTACCATGAGAGGTTGATGAAACTGGTGAAGGTAGGTGGGATTGTTGTTTATGATAACACATTGTGGGGAGGAACAGTTGCAATGCCTGAAGAGTGCACTCCAGAGAAAATGAGAGAGGGTAGGCAGAGAACACTGGATCTTAATAAATTGCTCGCAGCTGATCCTCGTGTCCAAATTTCTCTTGCCCCATTAGGTGATGGAATCACAATCTGTAGGCGTATTCACTGAACCATGTTGATTTAGACAGCCTCATTTCAGTACTGGACTCCAGAATCAGTCCCATCAAGCTCCTAAGCTGTAATGATTTAGAAAGCATAATCCGTATATACCATTACGAATCATGTTATTAGCCTTGTAGATGTGATGCTTTAGCCGTCTACCAGCTGGAACAACTAAATAAATAAATAAATATTTATATTTATATTATATATATGCCTGCTTTCCTAGGACTGCTTCACTATTTATAGCTAGCCCTGATCACATCTGTTTCAGAACAGTCAGCTAGATGTAGTTTTATATGTCAAGCTGAATGCAATTTCCAATGACGCTGAGACAAAAAGAACCTCTACGTACCTTGTACTACGTCAACTATTACACCAAGGATGCAAAAGGAACGAAATATGCAACATTTCAGCTTTTCTGTAACCAGTACAAAAGAAAGAAAACCAGATTATGGAGGAAGAAGACTGGCACAGCACGACCCGTAACAGCTATAGACGGTTAGAGCCCTTATGGCCCGGCACACCACCGCGAGTTCAGCCCCCCTTACCATTCCAAAAGCGCCCCTTCTCAACAGCTACAAAACGGCTAGTTAGAAAGCCATTTGAGGGACTTAAAAATTTTTCTAGCTACATCTATCTACCTTCCATTCTTCTGAAGTAATTTCATCACAAATAACCAATTTTCAGTTTCTCCTTTTTCCGCAATAACACTCAAAGTACATGCTGAAATTGTTCAATCTTTTTTTTTTTTTCTCCGAAAGGAAAAAGGCATATTCAAGATCATCATCCTCAACAAGTTTGGTAAAATTAATGGGGATTGGTCATCTCAAAGAGTGTATATATTCACTCAAACATTTTCATAGGTGGAAGATACCTACTTTGTAAAATTTATAAAAACTGCTCGTTTGCAGCCATCTGTTGCATGTCATTTTTGTAAAATTAGAAATTGCCTTCTTTTTTTTTTTTTTTTGAATCATCCGATTTTAAAAATTTATGTTCTATTTACAGAAAAAAAAAAAGTACAAAAAACGCAGCTCGGTAGACTTAAGCACAATTTATTTACCTTTGCTTTGCCTCAAGGGATGAATGCAGCAAATGGAATGCCAAATCCCAAAAAGAATTCAAGCAGAGAATTAACTTCTTTTGCTAAAGGAACTTTTAAATACAATAATTTTTTACTTTCTACTCTCTTTTAATAACACCGTCAATTTTTAAACTCAACTCAAAAATTTATCCCATTTATTTCAACACCTTTACCTTCACAGCCGTTACTTTTTTTCTTAGGAATATCTCTTCCCTTCCAAACCCTCTCACATCCTCAAAACTTCAATCAAACCTTAAAATCACAACTTTCGAACGGAATCAAGCTCTTCGATTCTATTATAGAGGTAAGTTCCAATTGATTAAAACGAAATCTAATTTATTGAGTGATTGTTTTGTAATTTCATGACTTATGTACATTCGTGAATTTTTTAAAACTTACAAATATGTATTCATAAACTTTTAAAAATTTAAGATATACATTTACGTAAGCTTCTCAGAAAGAGAAGTAAAAATATACATTTTTTTAATTTAATAAAAGTTAAGTAATCTTATGAGGTATTTTTATGATAAAAATATATAGCTACTTTGAAATTTTTTGGGTTGCATTTAGAAGCACCAGGGGAAAAAATCACTTTAAATATAGCACTAGTACTTGAGTTGAAAGTGTTTCGTTTCAAATTAGATGCATATCTTAAGTGAAAAAGCCATCGTTGGCAGACCACCATTGGCACTTAAAATTTTGGAGCAAACAATGTTTGCAGCACATAATTCTAAAATGCTCACTTATCATCAAAACACTAAAAAAAACAAAAAAAAAATTGAGACTAAAAAAATGCTTCCAACTGCAAAAAGAAAGGTTTTTTCATGGATAAATTTTGAAGTTTGCTTTTGCAGTTCAACTACTACAAAAAATCAAAACTAATTGAGGAATTAATCCAAAAGTTATATTCCATTATTCAATATTCAGTGAAAATTCCAATGGACATTGATTGAAAAGTTCACAAATAAACCAAAGCTCAAAGAACTACTCTTCCCCTTTTCCCATTCGAAAGTGAGCGGGAAGACAAATCTAATGAAAATAACCAAGAACCTGCCCACCCACATTCCTTCTAATGGCTTCTTCATGATCCAAAATACCATCTGGAGTTGAAATCACAACATAACCCCACTGCACCGAATAAGATTATTAAAGGACAAAGTAAGCATAAATGATATGAAGAATTCTACACACACCCTTGGCAATGAATAATTGAAACACTTGAAGTACAAAGAATTTTTAACAAACCTGATGTGTTGGAAGTTTAAGTGTTTTGTACTTTTCGATATCGTTTGCTTTGATGTCCTGCCTGTAAGTGAGTGCCCGACAATCGTTTACCCTGCCTTGCAGTTCAACTTTTATCCTCCCCACTCTATGTGGATCAAAAACCTCAAAATTCTTGATATATCCTTTCAAGAAGAAAAATTACAAAGTTAATGACCCAGCAACAAGCAATACATTCAACAGTAGGTCTAAATATACAAGACATCTAGATTTATAGCCCCTTAGTCCATGATATTAAGACTGTTCCAATGCATCATACGAAGCACATGCCTAATAGTTTCCAAAGCTCCAAATAAACAAAAAGAGTAAGCTTGATTCGTCAAAAAGCCAAAAGAAACTTCTCAGAATTGCATCCACATCATTGTGACGGAATAAAAGAGAGGGCAAAGATAGAAACATGGTTTCTGGTAATGAATCTGAACACAACGGACCATTACCGGCTTTCAAGTTAAAATGAAAATCAACCAGAATAGCAAAGGAAGATATACACTACTATTTTCATATGACCTCTGCAGCTATGGAAGAAATGCCCATTGCCCTTCAAATTCACATTGGATTAGCTAACTCATGTGACAAAAAGGGAGTAAACTTCAGATATTAAGACTACTTGTCCAGTCTAAGAATGAACCAGAGGCTTACTCCAAATTCTATATCACACGCCCCCAAAAATGAGTATAACCGGGTAAAGAAATATGCTTATTCAAGTTCAGTCTTTGACACACATGCATAAGTATACACTGATTTGGCATCAAATGAAACTAATTTCAAGTGCAGTAAATATCAAATTTAAGCAGAGAGAGAGAGAGAGAGAGAATTTTACAGGGTTCAAGAAATATCAAATGAACAAAATTCAGAACTTTTTTACTGGGTCACTACAACCTAACTAATTGTTGAGATTAATCAATAATAATTTAAAATTAAGAAAAAATCCATACTAATTAACCAACGTAACCAAAATCCGTAAGAAAAAACAATCAATTAAATGTTTTCAATTTTTTTTAAGAAGAAGCTTACCTCGATATTTCATGATATTGAGAAAGGAAGATATGACGATGGAGATTGGTTTCAATTCCACCGTCGCTTTGCCTCTCTTTTCCGCGTTCACGATTGACCTCAACGCATCGTTTAATATCCTCCTTCCCATCTCTCTATCTCTCTCTCACTCTGACGTTCCACAGCTGAACGGCTACAACCCCCCCAAATGACACCGTCAAAACCTCGGCTGACGAAAATATTCTGTCGTTTCAATCACTTGTATGGCATTTTAGAAATTCTAACGATCATTGGAGGGGTATTGTCGTAATCTGATAATAAACCCCAAAGAGGGATGCTGGTTGCTAAATGCACCATATTTTTTCTTTTCACATTTTAATATTTTTTAAAAATTTTTAAATAAATTTATTTAATTATTTTTCTCACAATTTTATGAAATTTTATAACCTTCCAAAAATGAGTTTTCGGAAACTTATATAATTTTTTGAAAATAAATTCTTAAAGAATCATAAATCTTTTCAAAAATAAATTTTTGAAAAGTTATATAACTTTTTGAAAATTTATTTTCAAAAAATGAGATAGTAAAAATTTTACTTTAAATATTTCTTACATTTTTACTATCTTATATTTTAGGAAATGAATTTTTAAAAAGTCATTTTTTAAAAAAAATTATAATATTTCAAAATTTTATTTTTGAAAAGTTATATGATTTTTTGAAAATTTATTTTTTTTAAAAAATTATGAATTTTTAGAAATTTATTTTTGAAAACTTGTATAAAAAAAGTAATTAAGTAATTTTATTTACATAAAATTAAAAAAAAAAAATCGAGATGTGAAAAGAAACCTCTCAACCACAAATGGCGTTTTGACCTTTTGGATATTAAGAGAAAAGACATGGTTAGAATAAGGATTTTGTCTGTAAAACCACATATAGGTGACTGGTATGAAGACATCAGTAACTACATTATCTGTACAAATGAATATAGTTTCTTGGAAAGTGAAAGAAAATATTGGATAATAGCATTGCGACATGTCTGGCCTTGTACAACCTAAACTTCATAGGTGTGTTCTTACCATCTTCTTATGCATCTCTGTCCTGAATCCTACTGCAAGCACAACTGCTTTTGAGTGACTAAACAATATATAGATGAAGAACAATAGAGTTCACCACCAAGTACCCTAGCATCCTGCCTTCCAGCAAGCTGATGCTTGGTCGTTTTTTGGTAACTAGTGTATATTTGTGTTTTATTTCAAGAATACTTCTGTAGGCTGTATTTTTTCTACAAAGTACAATTCCATTGATTAAAAATGTAAATATCATTTGTTTCCAGAATATGGTGCTGATGATATACATTTCCCAAGCTTGTGGTTTCTTCATTTCGATGAGGTTAATTATTAACAGAAAGCTAAAAAACAAAAGGCCAATGATAAAAGCCAGGGGCGCTCCGAGAATCGAACTCGGGACCTCTCGCACCCAAAGCGAGAATCATACCACTAGACCAAGCGCCCTGACGAATGACTGTCAACAAATGACCTTCTATAGCGCTGGGAAACCTGGGCTTAAAATTTTACGGTATCCCTATTGTTAGGCGACCCTAAAACCCTCTTTGCCGCCTTCCACACCTCCTCTGTTGCGGTAACTTCTGCTCTCTGTCATTCGAATGATTCCTATTTTGGTTTCCCAAACATTGATTTCAGTTTTCATTTTCTTCGCTGCTATATTAAATTTGTTTACCCTGTTCGCCATTTTTGTTTCGCTTCGTTCTGATATCTGTCCATTGTTCTCAGTTTAATAAAATGGCGACCGTTTCAGGGCAGTTGATTTGGGAGATCGTGAAGAAGAACAACTGTTTCTTGGTGAAGGAGTTCGGCAGAGGCAACGCCAGCGTCCAGTTCAGTTAGGAGAGCAACAATCTCTGCAATCTCTTACAAGCACTCTGGTGACCCAGTCCTCCATTTTTTTCTCAATTTGTGTCGCTTTAATACCAAAGCAAAAAAAAACGTTAATTTTTTTTGAAATTGTTACAGGTCTAGCTAACAAGAAGACTGTAACTCTTCAGTCTGGAGGGAAGGATCAGTCAGTGTTGCTTGCCACCTCAAAGACCAAGAAGCGGAACAAACCTGCAAGTTTGCTTCATAAATCTGTTATGAGGAAGGAGTTTCCTAGGATGGCTAAGGCTGTTCTCAATCAGGTACTTTTACGAATTTGTTTTACCAGTTATGAACAGATTTGTAGTTTTAGCTTGTATTCAGTATTTGGGAAACCGACATTGATTAGTCTTTTCTTTTAATGTCATGCTCGTTGCTAATGTGCTAATCTGCGGTTTTAATGGTCTTTGGTTGTGCAATTTTTACTGGACTGGTTGCCTGCAATCCTCCATTCACAGTTAGTTTTATCTTTTAGAAGCGGTGATGAAAAGCTAACATGTAAGAAGGCCCATGTAGTAGTGGGTGCTTCAGTGAAATATACTTGTTACGCTTGGCTTCTGAGCTTCCATCCTCAACCATGGCTCGCTGTTCTTTTGTCGTAATTGTCTGTTCTGTTGTTTTATTTGATTATTTGATATCGCAAAGTAGTCGTCTTTGTGGAATGCATTGCATTAGTCTTTTTCTTTCTTTCTTGTGTTGGCTGCAAATGCTACTCATTTCTCAATTTGGGAAAATTCCTGCTTTTATTCACTAGTGATCTAGTTCTAATATCAACAATAGACTTGAAATTTGAGTCGTGGAGCTCGGTCTACCAAACCCCCCAAACAAAGGCTAATATGCCTGTCTTTCTCCATGGATGGAGGTTATGGAATATGAGCCTTTTACTGACTACTGCTTGTTTGACGGTTTCAGGTTGTAGATAATTACTACCGACCAGATTTGAAGAAGGCGGCCCTTGCTAGGCTTAGTGCTGTTCATAGGAGCCTTAAGGTAGCCAAATCTGGAGTCAAGAAGAGGAACAGGCCGGCTGTTAAGATCCGTGGTAGGAAGTGAGATAGATGTTAAGGAAAGTGTCATACCTGCATCGCTGTTGGTTTTCTTTCTTTCCAAAAGTTTCAGACAGTGAAATTTTCACTTCATGTTCAATCTTTCCATGTATGGAAGAACTGCCACCTCTGCTAGAGATGTTAACCATAAATTTTGAGATAATTACTTGAGTTTAATTTCTGCAGATTTGGAAGCTTCAATTGCATTGTAATATCTGAGTTCTGAGCAAGCATACAGGGGGACAATTTATTTATTTCAGAGAGACTAAACAGTCTAAACTATCATCATCAAATTAAGTTATTAATCTCCACAGGCACAGACAGCAGATTCTTAGCACTTTCGCATTAAGTCCCCAAACCTTTGTACCTTCATAACTAGCGGAAATTGGTTGGTAGATATTTTCCTAGGATGCTAGAAAGCTAAATTCTGTGAACGCTATAGCCTGCATCCTCGGTTGTCAAGTTCTCCTTCCAATTCTCAAGCTCAGATCTACCAAACACCAATTGCTTAATTCCAACGTAGCTGTTGAATGAAAAATTAAATGTGCATGTATGTATCAGATCACAAATAAGGGTAAAGGAAGTAACACAACTAAAATCATAATAATCAGAGTTGAAGAAGTCAAAGCATCTACGGAACTAAAGGTGATTAATGAATAACACAAATGCTGGCGATCAGCATTAATTATGTAAACAAAATATGTTCTGAATTCCTATTCTTGTAAGTTGAAGAGTACACACAGGTGGTCTTCATTATTTCTTCTAAGAACTACCTAAGAGGAGATTCTATTCTTGCTGTGTGAAGCTAGTCCAAATGTTTGGGCAAAATAAATGTCCACCAAAAATACAAAGTGCTAAAAAGTAGTCCAAAGAATTAAATATTTGGAAACTTACTCAGAGCTTATTTGAGTCAATGCATTTATCAAAACATCCAGAATCAACGGTTCAGTGGTCCCAATATCCACCCTGTTTTTATCAGATTCATGAGCAGAAATCATGAAAATATCCATTTCCGAAATTCTAAACAAATGAAGATTGGTATGCACAAACTTAGCGTCAGAAGAAACAGGAAAGACACTAAAATTTGAAACTGAAACCTATACCATATACGTGCCAAGTTGTCTTGAACCTCAAGATCCCCAATGTTGTAAAATGTAGTTGGATTCACATTTGCTCCTTGAATAGCATCATAACTTGGTCTTTTTTCCAAAGGAGCTTGTGATAACTGCCAATAATACACAAGTAAGCAACTGACTTCTTTTTTGAGGTGCTACACATGGTAAGCTTAAGCCAAATTAAAGAACATGTATTCTTTTGCAACTTCAAGCATCCAGGAGAAGTAAACCAAAATATAGCACAAAAAATCCACTTTCCCAAGCAATGGAACTTGCCCTCCGATGATCATAAATTCATTGTGGTGCTTTAAAATGAGAGTTTTTTCATTTAAAACAACAAAAGAAAAACCTTACTTGCATATTCATGGAATTGCATCCACCCAGCCGCCCAATTATGTGCCATGATCGAATTGTCTGCAAACAACTAGATCATTTGAGCCATTGAATCTTTTTCTAAAGCTAGTACAATTAAGATTCAAAGAAATTACTTACATCACAAATTAAGGAGATGTCCTTTTCCAATGGAGCATTGCAGAATTCAAACCAAATGTATGAGTTTGAAAAATCAAATCTGCCAGTGTGGATAAATAAAGAATCAATTAACAAAACAGCAACTCTGACAAATTCCACCAACTGGACAAGCAATACTAGAAGATGGTAGTAGAAGCTAACTCCAGTCTCCAGGAGTGAGGATACACGGACTACTAAAGTGATAGGAAACAGAACAGCAATTATAATGACATTAGCATGTAGAGTGACTGATTTGTAATCTAAACCAACAAGTTAATAGAAGAAGATATCGCCGGGAGTGGCAAACGAGGAAAATGTGGTTCAAGAATTTTCAACCCATTTGGAAATTCATGACCAGCTACAACCAAGCCAAATTCCACAACCATGGAATGACACCGAAAAATGTTTATCTAGGAGGGCCATCTTTCAATGTCTCTTGGCCAGTAATCACAAGCTTTGTCTCGAAAAGATCCCCCAGCTTGGTTTAATTACCCATAGGACTACAGAGGGAGCACAAACATTTTCCTAACTCTCCCAAACCTCCCAATTCAGATGGAATCCGGTATCTTTAAACATAACTTATTCTCCTTTATGGCTCAAATGATCTACTATTGAATTAATGGTCAGAAATTGTCTCAAGAAATGTGCAGAAATTATAGCAAAGATTGAGACAAATCCGGATAAGAGGATAAACAATGAAAGAATGAATAATAAGTCAGGCAATCAAAAGTGCTTTAATTGAATTTAACATTAAGCATGGCCGTTGTACATATGAACTCACTTGTTGAATTTTACTTTCATGGGTGTCCCAGAACCAGTCTTTGTGTGCAAAATTTTGTTCCTTTTCTTCCTCAATCTTTCTTCCATCTGAACATTTAATCATCTCCGTCAATTAAATTCCCCTATTAAAAAAAAGAATATGCTTGCATGTCTCCTCAAATTCTCCTTTTTTTAAGAAAAAAAAAAAAAACCATTTGCAATCACTTAAAACCCATAATATCTGCAAAACAATTTGTAAAATGAGTCTTGACTTACTTTGGACCGAGCTTTTTGTGGGTCATCAAGGCAACTCCCAAGAATCTCAGCAAATTCAGGGTCTTTATCATAATTCTTCTCTTCTTCCCTCCCTCTAAATCCACTCCTTGCCCCATATTCTTCACTATCATCAACATCATCTTCTTCTTCATCCATATCAATATCCAAATTTTGGGCACTCATATCTTGGCTTCGTTTAGCTTTAACCGCCCAAAACGAAGTCTTGGGTGAAGCATGAATCTGTAAGGAAAACTTAACAGTTGAAAACAGCGGGAAGCAGTTGAAATGGAAAGAAAATTCATGGCGAGTAATGCTAGGGGCTTGAAGAGCAGTGGCTGCAAGGTTTAGTGTAAGCATTTTTTTTTGTTTGTCTTTGTTTAATGTTGGTTTTATGGTAGGGATTTTGCTTAGAAGCCTCGCCTCAACTGGTGCCTCTGAAAATGAGGAAAGGGTTTTAGCTTGGAAAGCCTGTCTAAAACCCTGTGATCTTATCTTTTATTCCTTGTAACTAGATCCAGGAATTTTTGCGTATAGGTTTGCATATAATCGGTATCAAGTATAAAATATAAAAATTAACTTATTATAATTTATATTAATATATTAAATATAAAAGATATTTTTTTATCAAATTTATATATTATTTTTATTAGTTTTAAATTATATAATTTTCGTATATTTTTTATATTATTTTTATTATATTTTAATATGTTCTACTTAAAACTCTAGAAGCAACATTTCAAAATTTTTTACTTCTTTTATTATACAATAATCAATATCATCTAATTATTACTTTTATTTTTTTTTTAAATTATTGTTCGACCCCTCATTTAATAATTTCTTGCATTCGCTCCTATTTAGAATTGTTATTGGTAATAAGCTTAAAATGTTTTTTTTTTCCTTAAGCTTTTAGATTAATGGTTAAAGATATTTAAAGAGATATCAATGATTTGATTTTGAGTTAGATATCTTCCTTTTCTTTTATTTATATTATGATTTTACTTTCATGATGTAATAAAAAAAATAAAATTTTTTCATTTTATTTTTGGGTTTTCCTTTAAATAATATGAAAACATGCTGGAATTCTGTTTAAAATAATAAAATATAACATGAACAGTTTATGTTAAAAATACGAAGTAAATTTATTTGGTTGATATTTTTATTGTAAGAAAGTTTAACTACTGTTTGTTTCATAAGGTGTCATAGCGAGGAGAATAAATGTTAAGAAAAGAAAGCTAACAGATAGGAACTGAACTTTTTTGACAGTTTCTAAACAGTGAATCACATGTCAAAGTTATTAACTTAAACTTTCAATGAGGACTCAATAATTTTGAAGTCAATTGATTCAAGAAAATTTGAAATCAAAATTTCAATATATGTATATTGGCAACAAATTGAAGTAATTTTGAAGTGAAGCACCTGCAACTTTCCCACAAAATCATCCATCCCCACTGTAAAATTAAAATTAATGAACTTATCGGGTTCGTGACAGCTAAGTTTTGGAAGACAAGGATGAGCGTGGAGTTGCTCACATAGTTGAGCATCTTGCCTTTGTGCCACAAAGAAATACACAAATCACAGCATTGTTAAATTCCTGGAAAGTAAGGTTGTTTATGATTTGATTTTAATCGAATTAATTGATTAAATTGATTTAATTCTGTTAATCAATTAATTATTAAATTAATTTTGATTAATTAACAAAAAAAATTTAAAAAATTTTTAATTTTTAATTAATTTGATTTCATCAAAATATATTATAATTCAAATATAAAATAAAAAATACATATAATAAATCACTTAATTTTATAATTTTAATAATTTTTAACATAATACTTTAATATTTAAATATTTTATTAAATAATTTTATTTAATTTTTTTAAAATATAAAATATTAAGAGTTTAAAATATAATTTAATTTAAATAAATTTATTACTCAATTAATCAAAAAAATTAATTAAATCAATCAAATTTAATTTAATCGATTAATTTTTAAAATTTATAAATTTGATTCAATTAATAAAAATAATATAATATAATTTGATTGATTTAATTTTAAATAATTCGATTAATTGAACTTGCTGGATAAAAAATCTTTTTGTAGGAGCATGATTCTATTAATTTTTCGGCTTTTTAGGTCAGGCCTTTTACAATGGATTTGGGTTTCGTAGTTAGGGGTCCAATCAAAGTTCTGGTCTACTGTCCAAGGTCCACTAATATTGCTAAGCGAACGACACCGTTCTGATCGATTATGTACGAAGCTATGCATTTTTATAGAGCTTTATTACGGTATGCAAACTAGGGTTTTGTCTTTCTTATTTTTATCTGAGCTCCTCTTCCCTTCTTTTGCTTCTCTTCTGTTTTTGTAGCTTTTGCTTTCCTTTAGACCCAACCAGGTCTCTCTCCCTCTTTTACGTTCTGTCTCTTACCGTTTTCCTCTGTTTGGTTTCCGAGAAAACGCCATGAGAAACGGGGGAACGGAAAAAATTTTACTATCTTTTTCTCTCTTTCTGATTTACTTTTTCTTTAAAGAATTTCTATTGATTAATTGGTTTTGAAGTGACAATTGGGTGATTAAATGCAGGTAAGGGTTAACGCCAAAGAGAGTGAAAATGGTTGAGAAAACAAGGGGAAGAAAGGAAGAGGTGGTGACCAGAGAGTACACCATCAACCTTCACAAGCGCCTCCATGGCTGGTAATTCAATCATTCACTTTTTTTTTTTTTAATTCCAGTGTTTTGCATCCTTTTTTCACTCTATCCATGGTATTATGCTCTTTGCTTGGTGGATCTTTGTTGGTTTGGTTGTAAATTAGATTCTCGCTCTCAAATTTTTTTGCTTGATTTATTACCATTTTCAGCATTTGATGATGTGTCTCAGTCCTTTTGTTAACATTACCTCCTCTAGTATTTGTGATAAGTGGGCTAGCTGTTATAATCATGAATTTAGTTGGGTAACTACTGATTTTAAAACTACTGGCTGGCATCTTTCTATCAAAATTCTTTGCTTGATTTTTTACTTTTATCAACATTCGGTGATGCGTATCAGTCCTATTATTGATTTGACCTTGAGTGTTTGTGGTATTCATGTTGTTTGTGATAAGTGGGCTAGCTATTATAATCATGAATTTAGTTGGCTAACTACTGGTTTTTCATGGGGATAAGAAGTGGAACTATATAGGTGGGTGGGTAAGTGATAGTGAGATTCATGATGCGTAGGATGAAAGTTTTTCTTTACCTATGTGAAATGGGTATTCGTGAAAAGAGATGTCTCAGAATGGTGCAGCTGCCTTAAGTGTAAGGCTTGCCTTGTGCTTGGACTTGGACGAATGGATTTTAGTTATAGGAAAATAATGCTAGACTGGAATACAATGATAAGTTCATAGTATTTTTAATGGCATTGTAATGATGCCAAGTATTATATAATTATAGAATGATATCCATGTCCTGTTGACAGCAGTTGCTTTATGGAACAATCTAACTATACTTCTGTCTTTGACTTGGGTGGAGTTAAGTTACACTTTGTTTTGAAATAGGTTAAGTTTTATACAAATTAGTGGTGTCTTGCCAAAGGTTGAGTATATTTTTAACTATCTTCTTGGTAATCTTGGAAACAGCACATTCAAGAAGAAGGCTCCCAAGGCTATAAAGGAGATCAGGAAGTTTGCACAAAAAGCTATGGGGACAAAGGATGTGAGAGTTGATGTCAAGCTGAACAAGCACATATGGAGCAGAGGGATCCGAAGTGTCCCAAGAAGGATTAGGGTGCGCATAGCTCGCAGGAGAAATGATGATGAAGATGCAAAGGAGGAGCTCTACTCTCTTGTGACTGTTGCTGAAATCCCAGCTGAAGGACTGAAGGGTTTGGGCACCAAGGTCATTGATGATGATGAGTAATTTGTTGATTTCTAGTTTATGAAAACTTGCATTTTGTTGACCAAGAAGTTTACAATTGGGACTTGTGAGACATACTATTTACCTCATATATTTGGTTTACTGCTGTTTAGACTTTTAAGCTTGGTGCCTATTGGTTTTGGTTGTAGTATGGGTATTCTAGAGCTTTATAAAATGATTCAAATGATGAATCGATTGATATACGTTCTTAAATTTTCTCCTCGGAATCCCAACAGAGCTACCAGTTTTAGCTCCTGTGGTCTGTGAACATAGGGTTGCCACTTGCTAATCCAGAGGAATACTCACAATTTATGTATCAAGTTGATGGAGTTAGGTTCTCAAGCAATTGAAAGTGTTAGGTCCTCGAGCAATTGAAATTTTCCTTGGATTAAGGTTTAGTTTAGCTGCTGTTAGGATCGAAAAAAGTGGGTTGGAAAAAGTGTAAAAACGTGTGGTGAAAAATGTGGTATTATTGTAAAAAACTATTATAAGTAATTATAATATCTAAAAATACATATAAAATAATAAAATTTTTAAAATATGGGATAATAAAATAATTTTTAATCTTAAAAATATTTTTTCACCGTAAAAACATTTTTCAAAGGGATTTTATTTGGGTAAACTGAAAAGCTAATTGAAAAGGAGTGCCTGAACGTGGAAGTTATCAGTAAAATCAAGTTGTTGTTTATTATTGTGTTTGGGTTAAAAGTAGCTTTTGAACACAAAAGCTACTTCTAACAAAGGTTAAACAAGGCTTAAAAGGAACGAGTATAAGCTAAGAAACTACCATATTATTGTCATGAATTGAGCCCAGCCAACCCAGTTGGGTGCCTTGGTATAACTGTGAGACAGTACCTAGCTTTGTCTACGACTTGACATTATAGTATTAAGCGTATTATCGCTATCAATATCAATGGGACTTAAATTAAGAGCTAGTGATGAAAAGGGAATTGCTCCTGGGATCCCAAGTCACCATTCTCAGCAGTAGAAGGTTTGAATTTTTCTCGAAGGCCTTAATTGTGGCAAAAACCATAGACATCTAGGGCAATGAAGATAATATACACACGTTCAGATCAAATAACGAACTACCATATCAAGTAGGTAAAGTCTGTAGACCGTTTATACTTTTTAATCATTTAGTAGCAGTATCTTTGTTTACTTAAAATGATATTGTTAATTAAAACTTTCTAAAGTTAAGCGGAAAATGTTTCATTTAAGAACACTTAAAAACTTAGTTAAAGATTATGATAACCAATATAAAATTGTGCAGAAATTTATGTTGGTTGATAGTATATATTATACTAATGTATTTATTGAAGGAATGAATCCCAGTACATGAAGCAAAGAAGATAAGTCTTAATACATAAGAAAGTAACACTAAAATCCACGTATAACAAACAAGGGTTTGGGGCTGTTAGGAAGAAAAATAGACCAAGGATGAAGAAATGGTTTTGCTACTATAATCCCTTTGAAATAAAAGTGATATAATCGCCTAGGCCTGAATAATAACTAAGGCAAAACACTAACATCCATGCGTATTTTTAAATTGAAATTCAAGACCTTTTTTCTCAGGTCATCTGGGAAAAACTCAATTAAAGATCAGCTCTCCCTGGATATCTTGGGAAGGGAATAACGTCTCTGATATTGTCAATGCCAGTGGCAAAGAGAATCATTCGTTCAAAGCCTAAACCGAACCCACAATGTTTAACTGTTCCATAGCGCCGCAGGTCAAGATACCACTCATATGGCTCAAGAGGCAGCCCCATCTCCATAATTCTATTAAGAAATAAACACCAAAGACAGGTTCATTATTATGTTCAATATCCTGAAGTTTCCCTATACATAAAAGAATACTGTACTAATGATATACCTAAGACAAAGCATAGAAGTAGAAAACAAAAATACCATCATGATATGAACCACGGAAATATTCCCTCATACCTTTCCTTAATAACCTCATAACGCTCTTCCCTTTGGCTTCCTCCAATCAGTTCCCCAACCTGATATGTTTGAAAAATATCCACTCACAAATGTTATAAAGCAAAAAAGGCAATATTGTGAATAAATACGTAACGTACACAAAGAAAATGTCCACCTTTGGCACAAGGACATCCATAGCAGCAACAGTCTTCAAGTCATCATTGACCCTCATGTAGAATGCTTTAATTCCCTTTGGATAGTTATAAACAATAACAGGCTTCTGAAATTTAATCTCTGTCAAGTATCTGCAAGGTCAATACAAAAAAAAAAATTAGCATCCACATTTCAAGCGGGTAGAAGAAACAATTTTACAGACTTGCATACCTTTCATGCTCAGATGCTAAATCAATCCCCCACTCCACTGCATTCTCAAATTTTTTACCACCTCTCACAGCTTCCTCTAAAAGCTCCACCGCTTCTGTGTATGATATTCGTACAAAGGGAGTTGAAGCAACCATTCTTAGCCGGTCAATGCAACCTTTATCATAATTTTTTGCCATGAATTCCATATCAGCAAGGCATTTCTCAAGTAACCATTTACACAGATACTTCACATAAGCCTCGGCACAGTTCATGTCATCCTGCAAAAGTACCCAATCTTTGATTTAACCTTCACATGGATTTTTTTAGAGCATATAAATGAATGTAAAAGGAGCATGACGAACTAGTGCCAAACATACCTGAAGATCTGCAAATGCTATTTCAGGCTCCACCATCCAAAATTCTGCCAAATGCCTTGAAGTGTGAGAGTGTTCAGCCCGAAAAGTTGGTCCAAATGTATACACATTACTAACAGCACATGCATATGTTTCAACCTGTAGTTGGCCAGAAACCGTCAAAAAAGCTTGACGAGCAAAGAAATCTTGAGTGTAATCAATCTTGCCATCCTTTTGAGGGATCCCAGGTTTCAATTTAAATCGCTCCTCCAGCTTTGACAGACTTTCTTTTGCTTTGTTAAGTTCCGCCACAGAAGCACCGATATCCACCTTGCTTGCTTTAGTAGCTTTAAGTTGTTTAACAGCCTCTCCTCTCTCACTCACAAGTTGCCTAGCTGCTTCTATATCGGCTTCAGATGGAAGTGGGTTTTTAATCAGATCCTTCTCCAACTTTTCAGCTTCACCGATCAAAGTTGTAACTTGGAACATTTCACCAGCACCCTCACAATCACTAGTGGTTACAATTGGAGTGTGCACATAAAGGAAATGGTGCTCTTGGAAGAAAGAATGAGTAGCAAAAGCAAGTGCATTTCGAATTCGAGCAATGGCAGCAATCTGAATCCATATATAATTACCAAGAATTACAAAATAATAACACAACAAGTAGCAACATACCATACGAATTACACAAAATAATGAAATATATTAGGTATAATAAAGCATGAAGATAGCAACATTAACTGATTATTAAAGTTACTATATTTTTCTTACCAAAAATTCATATTTGGTTTCGAATTGAACTGTTCACCGTTGCTTGTCAGGAAAATTGAAAAACTTTACCTTAAAGTTACTAAATTTATGTATTAAAATTTTAAGCTTTTCAATGGAAATACAATAGTTTTAGAACGTTCAAAAAGGGAACATGAGAGTTCAATTTGGTTTAGAGATTCATACCGTGTTGGTCCTAGAACGAAGATGAAGATGATCCCTCAAAAATTCAAGCGTGAGCTTCGTTTTTGGTATTGGGTACTTAGCAGGATCCACCTCGCCTATATGAACCACCTTTTCAACCCGAAGCTCAATCCTCTGCCTCGTGCCTTCAGGCGGCACCTTCAATATTCCATCGACCACCACGCACGTTCCTGTCGCCACCAGCTTGTTCAGAACAGCCACGCCAGCATCCACAATCACCTGCAAGTTCGCCGGACACGACCCATCGTTCAGTTCCAAGAACGCGAAAGTACCTTTACCTTGCTCTCTCCCAGTCTTTACCCAACCACCGGCCCGGACTCGTTTCCCCGCGAGGCCAGCCCCGCCGTCTGGCCGGCCCACGATGGACTGGATCAGGACGCGGTCAGAGAACGAGTGGTTCTCAACGGTGTCGTTCAAATTCATCGCGGCAAGATGGTCCGCCGGCTCCACCACCTGATCTGTTTCCGACATTCGCTTTTTTGAGCGCGGCTAAAGTGAACAGGAAAAACGAGTGCTTCGGATTTAGAAACTTAAGAAAACCCCTAAAAACGGATTTTATATGTGGCCGCGGGTGATCTGTTGGAGCCAAGACTACATTAAATTTGAAGTACTCCAATGAGGGCTGCGTTTCAATGTTTGGTTTTGTACACGTGTGTTATTTTTATTGGGTGCATTAATGAGCTCCGCGGAATCTTTGATTTTTGGCGTCGGAAACAGACAAAACGATACTAGGGATTCTAAAGGCGCGTTATTTTAAGGCGGAATCTTGTTCCCACGCTGGCTGGTAGAATCTTCATTAGCCCAAAAAGTCAGGATTATATAATCTATAATTTTTTATTTATAATATAATAATTAATCAATCATAATTAAAAATTATATAAAATTTTATTATTTTAAAATATAAATTTTACATAATTTTTTAATAAATCTTGCCTAATATGAAATTATAATTAATTAATTACATTAAATAATTATAAATAATATACTCCCAATAAGCCACAGTTATTTTGACCAATTAGATTCTTTTTCATTTTTTCACTTGTTATATTTTTGTTGCCACGTAATCGCTACTTTGACTGATAGATCATCAACATTCACGTATAATTTAAAGTTAAATAGTAATTTACTCAGTTAAGAAAACATCATTACGGATATGTGATGATTTTGCAAATAAATACTAGGTGATAAGCTCACAAATTTTTCCCATCAAGGGTCCGTTGAAAGGCCTAAACGCGATTCATTAGGAGCATAATGGGCTACATAGACGTAAAGGCAATTCCCTACTGATTTTGCAATGGCCCAAATTAGACTTTCCTGGTCCGAACGAAGCCCAAAATATTCCACGACACTATATAGGTATGCCGAAACCCTAAACCTGATATTCTGATTCCCTGCTCACCGCCGGAAGCGAACTAATAACCAGCAGCCGAAAGGCAGTCTTTTGAGAATCAGCCATGGGTAAATGTCCAAAGCTTCCTCAGCTAATTTCCCTTCGTTGTCTTGGGTGTTCACCCTTGTTTTTTTGTGTTGATCGTTTTGAACTTGATTATTTCAGGTAAGGTTCACGGATCTCTAGCTCGTGCCGGTAAGGTGAGAGGCCAAACTCCTAAAGTGGCAAAGCAAGACAAGAAGAAGAAGCCCCGCGGCCGCGCTTACAAGCGTATGCAGTACAACCGCCGTTTCGTCACAGCAGGTGATTATTTGTTTCTCTCTTTTCATTCGCTTTGTCTTTTGTGGGTTTTTTATATTCAACTTGGACAAGTTATGGTTCGTTTTTTTATCTTATTGAAGTTCTTTAAGAGGTAAAAAAAAAAAATCCACCTTTTATGTTTGTTTATGTCCTCTGGAAATGGGATTCATTTTTGCTCTTGGAACAAGTTTTGTTGTTAACTGAATTTGACTGAAACTATATGAATGTTTATACATTTTTTATGAGTAATTTTATTTTATTTTGGGGTTTTGCAGTGGTTGGATTTGGCAAAAAGAGGGGACCTAACTCATCTGAGAAGTAAGAGCTATGTTGGTGAAAGAAGCCTTGTTTGAAGCTTTGATGGATGAAGTCTTTGTATTTTCTTTGTAATGTTTTATGATACGTATTTCTATTGGTGTCAAGGATTAAATTGAACTTTCATTTTGGTGGCTAGAGATGTTGTGATTTTGTTTCAATTATCTTAATTTTTGGTTTATTATGGGTTTGGTTTCTTCTTCATCCATAGTAAATTGTTATTGCCATTTCAATGCTCATAGTACATCTTTCTAACCATGAGCAAGAAAGGACTGAAAATACTACAATCAGATAATGTTGAAATGAAAGAATGAACGAATCACTGGCTGCGGTTTAGAGTATATGGTTTCTCATTTGATTCTTTTGTATCTTTGCATGATCATGACAGATGAAATTTTTTGCGGTTAAGGTATTACGAGTTTTATTCCACTGGAAAGATTTTAGTGTAGTTACATGCGTTAGCTGAACCATTGATGAGGTATGATGCTGCCCGAAGTGAGTTTTTCTTGTACCATGCTCCCACTAAAAGGAAACTCGGCATTTGATGTGTCGCGATTTCTTTCAATCCTTTAGTTTTTGGTTCTGCGATAGTGTCTTGCTGTTAAATTATTCTATTCTCTTCCCTTAGGATGAATGGGATATGTGCCCCCCTAATCAAATTACAGGGTTCTAAAATTTTATAACTTGAATCCCATTCCCATACCATCAGCCATAGCCAACGGAAAACAGTTCACTGTTCAAAGGAGACGGATAGATGATGCCTTAATAGTGATTATTAAAGGTGTAGTCGATTGAATTTGATCCAATACAATATTAAGTTTAAACTGAATTTGAAATTTGAGATTCGAATTCGGTTAATCCGATACAATATTAAGTTTAAATTGAATTCGAAATTTGAGATTCGAATTCGGTTGAATTTTATTTTTTTAGTTCGAACTCAATTTAAGATAGAAATCAAGTTATCAAACTCATTCGAATAAACTCAATTAACATATAAAAATAAGTTTGATTATTATATTCGATAAAAAATTTATTATTTATATTTGAGCTTGAATTCGAGATATTTTATTAATTAAAATAATTAAAATATAAAAATTCGATTAAGTTCGCGAATTACTCAAGTCGAGTATAAAAATATTCAAACTTGATTCGATATATAAATCAGGTTACTGAAGTTTGAACTCAATTTAATAATAATAGAATCAAATTTAAATTTTATTCGAATCTAAATATTAAAGTATCATTTACATCTCCAGTGATCAATTACATCAAGTTGAACTATACTGTTGAAGCTCTTCTAATCCTGACAGTCTCTGTTTGTTTTTCGAGTAGTAAATGTAAACTTTTTCACTAGGTTGGTAATGATCCATCTTTCATGTCAGTATATTTTAGTGTCCTACTTCAGACAATTTTGGCGGACAAAACCACTCCAAAGGCTACTTCACGGTTGGTTACTACCGGAAAGATGATGGACAAGTAATGTTCAATGGTTGCCTCAGCCAATTATCAAGATCATAAAATCAGCCAGCTAATCAAGGTTATGATACCATACCGTTGTTCACACGTTAAAAGTTTTCTTCTCTTTTACACAGTCCAAGTTTTGACAGTTTTTTCAATAGTCAATAGTCAATAGATTTCATTAAAATGATAAAGAAACAAGAAAATATTATTGAAAAACTTTCTGACCAAATAATATGAGGAGTCCCTAACAAAAAGAAAAAGGAAAAAAGTCGGTCTACCACGCGGAGAAGAAGCCCGTCAACCACTGCGGATGCGGTCCTTAACCATGGTATCTTTCCTTCGTCCCTGCAATGAACATGCATTCACATAGCACATATACTGATGTTGAGATTGAGCACACATCAATAAATGCTTACAAAATACAAATTGTAACGAATAGAATTACCAATTTCATTGATTTGTTGCAATAATTAATCACTGCCTTTAAGTTCTCGTCACGCTCTTCAGCGTTCATTGCACTGTATGCATGATCTGGTGAAGGTGAAGCCCTCACTGAGTGGATAGAGCTAGCCTTCGATGCCGCGACAGAATTTTCCTTGCTTGATTTCTGTTTGCTTTTGGGGTTGGATCTTACAGGAATATTGTTACACGTCAAAAACTGCTTCATTGCCTTCCATAAACTCCAATTATAACTTTTCCTAGACTTTACCATGGGTGAAGGTGTGGCAAACATCGTACTATTGGATAGTGGTGAAACCGATGAGATGGTATCGGTGGAAGCTCTGAAATTTAAGCTTAAGGTTCTTGTGAAGAGGAGAGGATAGGACTCGGAACCCAAGAATCATTACCGGGGAGATCCATAGACCAATCTTTGTGTCTTTTCTAGGGGAGAAGGTTGTTTTAATTGTTGTCAAAGAAATTCCCCGTGTTCTCTACTGCCTATTTAATGAATACTGGTAAAAGTTTTGGTTGTTGGAACTAAAGTCGGCTTCGTCCTGTTTGAATACTATACTTCATTATAAGGCAACATTTCGGATTTGTTGATTCGACGACCGTTTCCTGTTGGGATTCAGCTGAATACAAGAAGGAAAAGAGCCTATCAGTAGCATAGCATGCTCGCAATTGAACTTCAATGAATCGGAATTCTACTGCCTACTCCTATGTGCGTCTGCGAGCACTCAAAAAGTTCACACAATCATGCAATTTACTTCTTTGCTATCTACCCAAAAAGGAGAAAAAAAAAACTGTTTCCCCATCAAGAAAAATGTTAAAAAGTTGGCATTTTCCTCACTTCACGCCTTCATTTTTTATTCATAAAAAAATGCTGACAGGACAAAACCGTCAAATGAAGCATCAAGAGTATCAACAATGCTATGTTCCGTCTATGTAAATTCATATATTGATTGAACAGTTCATTATAGTTTGGATTAGATATACAACTAGATACCTACTTGACATCACAAGATTTTTGCTGCTCAGACTTAGTTCATCATGATAACTTCCTTCTGATGGCGAAGCATGCTTGGGTTGATTTTCGTGGAGGTACTTGCCAATGATGCATATGTATGGAGCTGCACGTAACATATGGTAGGGTGAGTTTACCGATTGAAGTGGTCCTTGAGTCTCATTCCTTCATTCCAAGAAAGGAGGAAAGTCCTTGAATCGCCCCTGAAAAGAACGCAAAATCCTCTCCTCCCATCTGCGGTTGCATTTCTATGATGTTCTTATGGTCCACTATTTCCCCTGCAACCTTTCTGAAATGTTAACGAAACTTCTTCGTAGTTTGAGCTCACAGGATAAGTCGACTTTTCAATGACACAAGGAATTGAAGTAAACGACGACTCATTGCATGCCGAGTATAATGAATATATGGTGGAGATGGGGCCCAACTCCATTTCAAGTGGGCGACACGTGGAAGGCGATGACTTCAGCACCGTCAAGAAGGGACAAAGCAAACGCACTTCCTTTCTAACAAAACACGCAAAGGAAAAATCCCAAACAAATTCCCCAGAAATCCACAGATCTCTCAACTCTCCAAATCCCTAATTTCTCAATTTTATAGGTGAGGTTAGACTCCTCCTTTGCAATTTTCTTTTTGACTTTTTAACGGTTTCTTTATTTTGATTGAATTCCTTTTTTTTTTTTGCTGTTTTCGAGTGATTGATTCTTTTATTTGATCGTATTGATGATTGTTCTTAAACAGAAGATCGGGGGTTTAATCGTGGAGAGTAAACCATGTTTACCCGGCTTTTCGCGAAACCCAAGCAGGAAACAAATGCTCTAACCACGTTAGACAAATTAAATGAGGTATATTATTGATTTTGTATCTGTGTTTTCTTTCTCTTTAATTGGGAAATCAGTTTTTTTCTTTGGATTTATTTTGCCTTGTGCGAATTGTGGAATTCTGAAATTGCGTTTGGTTAATTCGGTGGGTTGAATTTAGGAGTCATAATTGGTTGGAAGTTTTGGGATTTGCTTGAAAGAACTGAGTTGCTGGCCGACGGATTAATGGAATAATATGATAATTCTTTCGGTGAATTCTTAAATTGTTTGATTACACTTTGGAAGGGTTGCTGTCAATCGCTGAAAAATAATGAACAGCTGAAGTGGAATAAAATTTCATTAAAAAAAATAACTTGCTAAAATACATGAAGTGGAGTTTATCTCTGTAGTCCATCAGTCCATCTTTCATAAAAGTGGCCACTTGTGGAGGAGGGTATTTGTTTATTTTGGTTGACGACTTGAAGGTGAAAATTTTGCAATACATTTAATAGTTTTCTGGACACGAAATGGATTAATACATGGAATTGGTTTCTTATCCTTTGAACACAATTTATCTAGTAATGTCGTTCAGATAAAGAGAAAGGTTTTAAGGATAAAAGGAAAGAATATCTTTTATTATGTATTCATATTCTGCTGCAAAATGCTAATTGCACTTTTTTGTTTCAACTAATTGAATTACCTTGTTTCTTTTCTATTTTTGTTTAAACTGAACCCTATATTGATCTGCATCATTTAGACCCTTGAAATGCTAGAGAAAAAGGAAAAAGTACTTGTGAAAAAGGCTGCTGTGGAGGTTGAAAAGGCCAAAGAATTCACCAAAGGGAGAAACAAGAGAGGTATGGTTGCAATATATATATATATATATATATATATGCAAAAATAGTTTATGTTTTTCTCTGTTGAGTTTAGTAGTTCTCTTGTTTGGTTTCTTAATGCCTGTATATAAATTCGTGTCTTGCAGCAATTTCGTGTGACAGCTTCTAGCTTACTTCTTATTATTCATATTTCTTTGGTATTTATGTTAGATATTTGCTGTTTTTTTCTGTAATAATTCAACCTCAGACCCCCTCTCAATTTTTTGTTCATTAGAATTCCCAAAAGAAAGGAAAGAACAAATTGGAGTGAAGATGCCCCCCCCCCCCCCCCCCCAAAAAAAAAGTAACACTCAAATGTTTTACAGCATTGCATGCTTCACCTTTGGGGTCTTTCATTTCACCAATGATCATCAGTTCTTGATGTTCTTTGGACGTTCAATGATGTTCTGATGCTGATTAACATTAGCATGTTAAGATATGATTCTGAATTTCTTATTGTAATGTGCTCACATCATGTGAACTTTTGACAGTCAAACATATTGTAGAAGAAACGTTTGAATTGTTATGTATTTTTTATCATCTGACATTTAAACCATGTTGTGTACTCTCATTGCCAAATTTATACTGTTTACTCTTAGTGCTCATTGATGCTACTATTATGCAGCGGCTATACAGTGCTTGAAGAGGAAGAGACTATATGAACAGCAAATAGAACAGCTTGGGAACTTCCAGCTTCGTATTCATGATCAAGTAAGCTTGGAATTTTGTTATTTTTAGTATTTTAAGAGTGTTCTAAGAGGCTTTTTCAAGGGTTTTTTTTTTTTTTTTCTGTTTCTGATGATGCTATGCTTATTGTTATATATTAACTTCCATAGATGATAATGTTAGAAGGTGCCAAAGCCACAACTGAGACTGTTGATGCATTGAGAACTGGAGCAGCTGCAATGAAGGCAATGCAGAAAGCAACGTATGTAACCAATATATTTTTATTGTGAACCTAATTTTTCTTTTAGGGTTTTCTTCATTGTATTTGTCCCTTTGCATCGCCATTTACCATACTATTGGAGTGTGCTGACTTGGAATTTGTGCTATCTAAGTTAGCACTTATTCTTGGACCTTCATGAAACACAGGCAGTGGTAAGTTGTCACTGTTTTACTGAAAATGGTTTTCTTTACAGGAATATAGATGATGTTGACAAAACAATGGATGAGATCAATGAACAAACTGAGAACATGAAACAGATTCAGGAAGCACTGTCAACTCCTATTGGAGCTTCAGCTGATTTTGATGAGGTTATTACTTTCTGATACACTCTTCTTTTTCCTTTTCCTGCTATTATCTATGTTTATAAATATCATGTATAGCATTTATACACATATAACAATGAATCGAAAACTTTTGATGCTGTAGGATGAATTGGAAGCGGAACTCGAAGAACTTGAAGGTGCTGAGTTGGAAGGACAGCTTCTCCAGCCTGCAACAACTGCTCCTGCAGCTCTAGTGCATGTGCCTGCTGGCAGGCAACCAACTCGTCCTGTTCCTCAAAAGCGCACAGCTGAGGAAGATGAACTTGCTGCATTGCAGGCTGAGATGGCACTTTAAGGTAATTCATTCTTCAGTTTTCTGGGGGAATTACTGATGGACCGTAAAACATGGCTAATCATCTGATAGCGTAGTTCACTTTTGCAGCCATAATTGGACCATTCTTTGATGCCAATTATTTCTTTTTTTTTTTTTTCCTCCGCAGGCATTTAGTAGAGAACTGATTTTGTTGTTGCAAGGACAACCGCAGTTCATGTTGCAAAACATAAAAGATAGACCGTATTGTATTATTGAATCTTCTCAAAATTTGTATGCATTTAATGTTTGACAGACAATGTACATAATGATTGCTCGAACTAAACGAATGTCCCCTTATTTGTACTCTGCTTCCTGGAATTTGTTCCCCTTTTTATTTCCCTTGGTTCTGTCAATAAACAGTACACTTTCCCTGTTCCGTGAGCCGTCGTAGCCATCCTGACTTCCCTTGTAATGTCAACTACTTATTGGCGTTAAACATTTGGTGTTTTTAGTCTCAATAGATGTGCTCTGTCCTTGCTGGAAGGCTGTAACCACCCACCGTGATGCAATGCTGTTATTTTCTCCGTTTCATGCAATAATGAGGGTAGTTTTGCCTAGGGTGTCATTCAGTCACTGGTGCATGTAGTAGATGATGGCCATGGGCCTCAAATGTGATAATCAAATTAGAAACAGTGCAAAATTAATATGGCTACTAACTCTTTTCATACGGCCGAATAAAACATGATGACATTTGAAAATGACTTGAGCACTCCCATGCATCGCAGTGGATCCAAAATCCAAGATATTCTTTCTGTTCTAAGTTGTTGTCGCTTGAAGTTTGAATGATCTCCTTTTTATACAACTTCTAATGAAATTGCAGCAGTGCATCTTATACTTTCACCTAAAACCTAAAAGATGAACTTTAAAATCAATCGTGGTCTCCTTTGTACTAAAAGAAATATATATTGCAAACATGTGTTCCCCAACTTGACGCAAATCATCCTGTTTACTGAGCATTGAAGTAAGATTTTAAAAGAAAATTAAACAATTAGAACAAGAAACAATAATCATATCTAGCTAGGAAATAAATGAAACGACTCGTGAAATATGAGATCAGAGTCAGATGGAACTCCATGTGGGAGTTGTAAAATTAAAGATAATTACTTTGTTTCTATCAAAGTATCAGCGTCATCCGATTGTATACCCAACCCCTTTTCTTTCTAAAGACAAATGTGTATGAATAAAACCAAAAAGTCTACCCTAAACCAAGGGATAAGTTTGATTTTATTATTATTATTTTTTTGTTTGCAGCGAAAAAGTCAGCTGAATGAAACCATTAACATATGAAAGCGACTCCCTGCTCTTGCACTCCAAAATTTTACATCACTAGGTTGACGGTAACCTTGATTTGCCGGCAAATCTCACTACACCAAACCCTATTTTAATTTTGTTTCTGCTTATTACTTGGCTACGTCCTTGACAAAAACTATCTTACCTCACCATTATCCTTTCTTTTTTATCTTATTTTTCTTCTTAATTTTTTAATGTATTTAATGATTTAGGTCAATAAATGTGTGGCACCAACTTTCCCTTTACTCGAATACTCAATCAATATGGAGATTTTTGTAAATATCGACATGCGCATGACCATGATTAAGATTTTCATTGACATTTTAGGCAAGAAACCTGCAAAAGTCATCATCGTCCCATGTTGTAGGTTTTATTTTCTTATACTGAGACAATATCGACAATGAAGTACCTTATATTGCTGAGCAAGCGAATAATTGTTCCTTTAGGATAAAATTCATTGAATCTTACTGATTAGTCTGTATCTAGCTAGGGCTAGATACATAATAGATAAAGAAAATGGGGTTTCCTTCAAGTTTATCGTTCACTTTGAGCAGGTCATTGGTTGAAGGGACATTACATTATTATCAGTATTAAATTTGGGGCAGCAAACGTATAGCTATAGGCCTTATATAATTATATACTGATTTGTTAGTAGTTATTTTATTTATTTGATTGATTCATTTACTTTTATAAATAATTACTAGAATATGATTATAATTTTTTTACACTAATAACTTACTAAAAAAGTTATTTCATGATTGTACAAAAAATATATATATTCCATATGCTTTTAATTCAAACTATGCATATGCAATTTGAAGGAAAAAATGATAATTTTGTCCTAGAGAAAGAACAGGAAAAGCAAAATTATGGTTAGTACAGAGCAAATTAATCAAGAGTTAAATAATAATAAAATTAATTAAAGAATAGGGGTACGAAAATTAGAGGAATTAGGCTAAAACATAGTCTAAAATAACTGCATATATATATATAGCTTAAGTTAAATTTGAATTTTCTCGTATTTTTAATGTAATGTTATTAAATTTAATGTATCATTAATTAAATTTAAATATAAATTTTAATAAAAAAATTTTAATTGTAATTATAATTATAATTATTTTTTAAATTTAATCATAATTAATTTTATCATCCATTCAAATAAAATTTTAGAAAAAATGGTGGGAGCAGGCGAAGGCAGCATAAATGGTGATGAAATGCTAGCTGCCAGCGCCAACCATCGAGTTTCTTAAGACTGGCAGTATTTACTACGTTAATTCTACTAATTTTTCTTAATGCAAATTAATCTTCGATTTCATCCTTGAATGCATACTTTCTCTTAAAGCAACCAAACTCACTCTGATCATCAAACTGTGACAAATATAAAAACAATCTAAGCTTATAATTCTAATACCATTCTTCTTGTTCGTCCGCAAAATTAACCATAATTTATTTTTTAATATATATTTAAAGTTATTAAAATTAAAAATTCAACAATGACAATATTTATTTTTTATTAGGATCCAAAGCAAACAATCATGAACATAGAACAAGTGTAACATGGTCAACTTATAAAAATTTAGTACATTACGTGGGTATCTCTCCAGTATATTGTCATCATACACATGTTAAAATGTCATTAACTCAAAGCTTACGATTGATTTACATAATCTTAATATCCCAAAAACATATTTTGTGATTTTTTTAATTAAAAAAATATCATACACTAAAAAGCAAGCAATTAGCTTTAACCAAAAAAAAAAAAAAGTATTGCAATTAAGGTAGTTGACAAATTAAAACAGAACAATTAATACTAAGTTTGAAAAGAATTGTTAAATATTTAAATTCATTTTTAAGAAGATAAAAAAACAAGATTGGAGCTGATTTCAACCGTAGATTAAAGAAAAACCATCAAATAAGTCTAACCTATGAATAAGGTGGGACACTATAACTCAAACCACTGCAGTGATTAATAGGATTACAGGAGTAATTTCAAAGTAAAGAAATTACACAGTAAGATCCTCCCAATCTTTCTTTGTTATTTATTCCTAAACCTCAAAATCAAAAGAAGGCCTACATCTAAAAATCTTGGTCTAGTTTTGCACGTCCAAAATCACTTAGGTTGAGTGTAAATATGATAATTTGTGTTATATAAAATATTAATATTTATATTATATTTTATATAAAAATTATATATAATAATTTTTATTGATATAAAAATATAAAATATAATTGTTTTATTTTATTAAATTTATGTATAATTAATTCCGTGGCGGTGAGTGTATTATACGAGAGTGCCATCATCACCCCTTTTCACGATGTTGCGTGTTGGAAGGGTAAAACATGATAGAACAAGTGGAGGAGTCTGCTTCCTCATGAAAAGATTTAAATTAAGTTGTTTAAATAAATTTCGTCAAATTTTTTATTAAAAATTAATAAATTGACATTTTTATTATATAAATTATGTAAATTTTATTTAAAATTTAATATATTTTTAATAAAATTTTTATAAAAATTTTTATTATTTATAAATATTCATTAAAATTAAATTATAAACTATATTTTTTATAAATTATTAATTTTCTCATTAAATTTCATCAATTCTTCAATTTTAAACTTTAATTTTAATTTTTATTATATACTTTTCATAAAAATTTCACAATCCTAACCTCAATGTTGAAATGCATCGAAAATGTTCCCAAATTTTGGGTAATAAAAAAAAAAAGTCGGATTTTTAGCGGCCTATCAAAGCAAAATTAAGATAGGACCCCTATAATATCCCCGCTCTCAAAATCTGCGATGGGACCTAAAAATTTTCCCTTTCAGAAATGCTCCGTCTTTCTATTACTTAATTTAATTGCCATTATGTCCCACCTTGACTAATAACAGAAAAATAAAATCCACCTCTACAAACTCTGGATTATAGTCGAAAAAATTTGCCAATGCTTGATTTCTTTTTCTTTCCCCGAAGCCAGTGAAGAAAATCCCTCATAACCATCCCAGAAAATCTCCATTTTTTCACTCCAAAGTTATTATTTGCTGCTGAGAAAAAGTTGAGTGTTTGACTTGGTTAAGTTTTGGTCTGCTTCAAACATCACCATTCTTGGAAGTTTTTCAGAAGAAAAATACTATAACATGTTTTATATCATACTGAAACTCAATAACAAAGTCTATACTGATTGCATCATTCACTAAAACTAGAACACAGTAGAAACTAACAAAATTTTTGACAAAATATACATTGCATTAATCTGCACAAGCACATGAACAAACAAAGCCTCTGAAATTATACAATGATAAATATCATACCAATAATCTTTGCCTTTTCGAGTTCTGATCTCCTGAAATTCATAGAAAATTTCCCAAAAAAAAGAGATTGCAGTCCTCACAAGTCACCACCTCACTTCCATCACTTGTGAGAAATAATAGTATTTGATATTTACACAGAATCATCGATTTGGTGCAGCTGCTTACCCAAAATATATTCCAGATTTTCTTCTCTTTTTCTTCAGATACTATTCACAGGGAGAAGAAAGAATAGATTCGAATAAATCAGAAAATAATGAAAAAGATTTTTTTTTTTTTCATTTCACCAGGTCCGAAACCCAATTCACGTCCGGACCTCCAGAACACTGACCCGGGTTAACCCTTTCCAAAGAATTCTCTTTACTCAGTTTCTCAAACATCTTTGCACGTAAATCCCTTCCAGACTCGACTCTTTCCATCATCGGCTCTTCTTCACATCCTTTGTCCCAGAAATCCAAGTAACGAACCCCAGGACGGGTCAAGTTCCGGGTCGGAGTACTAGGAAGGCTACAGAATCCGGGTCGGATCACCGCCCCTCTGGGAGACCCAAACCCAGAAGGAGAAGGAGAAGGAGAAGGAGACGGAGAACAGCCTACTTGTTTGTTCCAAGAAGAAGGCGAAGACTTAATTTTACCAAGCTGCAAGTTCCTCAAAGAAGCCACCGTCTCATTAATAGAAGCCGAACCCAGAGACCGACTCAACGACTGAGCCATAGGCGAAACAGGCAGTGAAGACTCAGCCCGTGGACTCATCGGAGGAGAACCGGAACCAGGGGAAGACCAAAAAGTCAGCCTTTTCGCAGAAGAAGGTGAACCATCATAAGAATCAGCAGAATTCACAACCCTAAGCTGGCCCGGAGTATGAGCAAAGAAACAAACGCGACGCCTACAACACGGCCCGTCTTTGCATGGCTGAGTCCTGTAACGCGCCGGGTGAAGCCAGCACTCGAAAACGCCATGAGCGAACTCGCAAGAGTCTCCCTTTCGACAGTTTCCTTTCCTGAAATCAGGGCACGCCGTACCCGAGTAATGACACTTCCTCGGGTCCCTCCTACGAGCTTTTTCACCAGGATGAGCGTACGGACACTGAGTCCAGTCATGTGACTGGCCTCGTGCACATCTCCGAACTTTGAACTCAAACATCCTGAATTGATCGCACGTGTAAGCGTCCACCGGAGAATCCGGTTTGTCCAGACCCGAAAACTCCGAATCCCACTCCACGTCCGGTTCGTTCGACGGCAAGTAACGTTGTAGCGCTGCTAACGCTTCCTGGAGGTAAAACGGGTTGCTGTTGTTGTTGAAGTAGTTGTCGGCTGCATTGTACTTGAGAGGAGAGTAAATCTCAACCATCTGATCATCGTCGAAGTTAGTCCAGGGTTGAACGTGTACCGTTGGATTGGGACGATGAGTATCTCCGAGCATCATCTTTTCTTTTGTTTTTCTTTTATAGTGGTGGTGGGTGGGGTTTGCGAGATTTGTACACTAAAACACCGGCAACGTTTGGTTGCTTGTAAGTTATAAGCGGATGATGGTAGTAATAGGGGGCGATCTAACCGTGGTTAGATTTGTAGTAACCGTGGTTAGTTAAAAATCTAGAGCCTTTTTTCATATGCTTTGTATGTATCGCTTTCCAGTTTCCACTGCGGTAAAACATGATCTAGGTGAGGGTAGTGTTGGCGTTACGGGCCTGCTATATAAGCAGATTTGAAAGCGCTCTTTGGTCGACACGTGTCGGATCAAATGGAAATTTTGATGCAACATTGCTTAGGAAAGCTGGGAAATCGTGCGGTGACAAAGCTGTGAGGTGATCGAGATTAATCCAGCTAGGCCCCCAGTGTTCCAAAAGTGGTGGAGCTTGAGAGATCACAGGACAAATATGAAAATTTGCTATTTAAAAAAAAAAAAAAAAGAGTTACAGGACAAAGATGAAAATTTACTAATTCTATTCAAACAATAAATGACGTAATGTACATTTTTGTGGGTCAATATTGTTGACAATTTAAAAATTAAGAATCATCTTAGTATTTCAGGATGTGGAATGGATAGATAATGAGAAGTGTTTAATATTTTTTTTTTTTTTTAGATTTTTAGATTATATTTATTTTTGTATTCATATTAAATGAATATTTTAAATTTATTATTTTTTTTATAAGTATTTAATAGATATAGATGATTTTTATACCCATAATTTTTTAAAAAATACAAAATAAAATTTATTGTTTTATTTTTATCTTGTCTATTTATATATTTTTATAAATATATATAAATATATATTTTTTAATAAAAATATATTAGTTTTAGTTCATTTAAAATAATAATTTATATTACTTCATAAAAATATATTTACTAAATATATAAAAATATATATGAGTATAGAGCAGGTGCTATATTAATCATTTTCATTCATATACCAAATAAAAATTTAAAATTATATTCATTTTTATACCCATAATATAATATAAATCTCCATTTTCATTCAAATAGAAAATCAAGTTCTTCACGAATATATGTAAGATTGACATTCATACTAAAATTGTCTTGATAGTCCTTCTTTTTCTCTATTTCATCATAAATTAATGCCAATTTCAGTAAAAATTTATATTTATTTTTAATTTAAGTTTATATTTGATTTATTATCAGTATATATATTATATACATTTTAGTAAATTGGATATTATTATTTTATTATTAAAATAAATCAGATGATAATATCTCATGAATGTGTAAATTTTTTTAATTAAAATATGTATATTTATTTTAAGGATTAATATTAATGCATTAATATTTAATTTTTATATAAATTATATATATTGATAATGTATTAAATATAAATTTTTTTAATATTTAAACGGTAAATATTTCAAGCAATAAAATTGTTCAATTTTAACTTTTAAAAATTTAATTTGGTTATAATTTAAAGTTTTCAACAATCTTTCGATGAATTTTGATCATTTGGTTAGCTAATAATTTAATTAGGTCTTATTTTATACATAGCTAATAAAGGTTTTTAACTCTAAAATTAATGCTAAAATGTTATCATATGTTTTTTATTTATTACATTTATTTATTATTATTTTAAATAAATTTAATATAGTGTATTATAATTGATTTTTAATTCATTAATAAAATTTAAAAATTTTGTTGATAACGTATGAAATAAAATTTCAATATATATTGGAAAAATCTTAGCTACTCCATTATTTAAATTGCTATACAACTCTTTAATAAACTTTTTCTATAATCGTCCAAGAATTTTAAAATTTATCATTGAATACTTGATTTTTTATTTAATGATTAATCTTTCACATTAAATATATATTCATCTTATTGATCTAATAACCAAACAAATTTTAAAAAAAACACATGACTGAAGTTAAAATTTAGTCATTATTTAAGGATAGTTAAATATTAATTTTAAAATAGTATGGTAAATTATTTTATAAATTTAAAATAAAATAATATATTAATTATCAAATTTATACTTAAATATCATTTTAACCAATACTTGATGATAGTAAATTAGAACTTAACCTTTTTTTTTTTTGATCGGTTAAATTATTCCACGTCTGATTCTTTATTATTTCCTTCCTGTCGGGAAATTAGTATGCAGCCTCTGCCGCTGCCTCTGCCACAGCTTCTAGCGCATTCTAGAACAGCTAGCGTGCTCAGTGCCAATTTAAATGAGAACGTTTTGGTTTAGTTTACGTTTATGCCCCTTAGTCCGTAGTTTTAATTAGAGCCCATTTATTTCAAAGTGAAAAAATTCGATAAGGTTAATTAAATCAAAATTTTTAATAAAATCCATGCGTTTAGGAAAAGTAGTATAATTTGTTTCTTTTACTAATTTTTTATGTGTTTCTGTTCTATTTTATATAATTTTTAAATGATTTATATTTCACAAAAACATTAAAACTTTTTAATTCAATTTACAAATCACTCATTAAAATTATTTCATTTAAGAAAAATTTACATTTAATTTATAAATCGTTCACAAAAAAGTTATTGAAGATGAGAATTGTAATTATTATTTTAAATAAAAAAGTCACAAATTTAAATGAAAACTTGTATTTAATTTATTGATTGTTTGTAAAAAAAAAAAAATTAACAACAAAAATTGATATTCAATATTACAAACGGGGTATTCCTTCTTACCAATATAATCAATTTCGTTGACAAGAAAAATATATTTATGTATAAAATGCTTGCATATATTTTGAAATAATGAATTTTATTAGAGATGTTAATTTTATTTATATTCATTGAGAAACTCGATATTTTATTTAAATGAAAATAAAAATAAATATTATTTTGTGGTATAAAAAATTAAAATAAGTATAATTTTAAATTTTTATTAAATACGATTATTAAAATGATTAATTAAGCTCTTATCTTGTATCCATATTTAACATATATATTTATATATTTTAGTAAGTAAATTTTTTATTAAATAATAAAAATTATTATTTTAGATTAATTAATAAATTTTTATTGAACAAATATTTATAAAAAAATACTTAAATATATAAGATAAAAATAAAAAAATAAAAATAAATTCAAGGTTTTATATATTTTTTTAAGTTAAGGATATTTAGATTATTTATAACTATTAAATATTCATTAGAATGAAAATAAATTTAACATATTTATTAAATATAAAAATAAATATATATAATATAAAAATTAAAAAAAAAAATAAAAAATATTTTACCTAATCTATTGACATCCCTAAATCTTATGAGATATGTAAAATGGGGACCATATAATTGTAATGATAGTCACATTCAAATAATGTTTCCTATTATTAGCGTCAGTGGTACGTTGAATCAGCACCTTATTTTTCAACAGAAAATGGATTTAGATAAATTTAAAGCACCATTCTCGGGAGGTTGAAATCGTCAATCGGCAACTAAATGAGTCCACAACAGTCACGTGAAATTAGATAACTCAGATTCTCCGAATCAGATTCAGAACAGAGCCAAATGGCAGCTCAAAACGGAGGTACACGTGGCACTTCATGGCAGAATCCTCTCCCGCCCAGACAAAATGCAACGGGAGCTCGGCGTTCCGAGGAATATGCCTCCCACTTGCCGGAATGCAATGCCATTTTTATTCGTACGGACGATCAAACGTGTCAACCTTTTTGTTTTGAAATAGTTGGCGTACGCGTGGCGTTTGTTTTATCCTTTTAGTTTGGAGCAAGGAAGCAGCGACATTCTTAAAACGAATCGTGGCATCATCTTCGTAGGATATCATCCATAATAATTATATTATAATTAATTAATAAAATTTTAAATTTATGTAAAATTTATTTTTATAAATGACAAATTTTCATATAAAATTTTATTATAATTAATTTAATATTATTGTAAAAAATTATAATTAAAATGCTTCCTAATCCTCATACCCTCCGACTCTCCCCTCTTGCTTTGGGAAATATTTGCTATAAATTTTTATTACAATTATATAATTATTTCATCACAATAAAACAAATATAAAATTTATTACTTATAAATATAAATTTAATATAAAGTTTTAATAAATTTTATATAATTATAATTATAGTTGATTAATTATAATATAATAATGAAAATTTATATACTTTCATGATTTTGACATTTTTTTATTTTTTATTATCAAAATTGAATAATATCTCAAACTAAAAATTCAGGAATTTATCAACACATTAACAATGATCTTAGCTTAAATTTGAATTAATTCCATTTGATTTAAAATTTTATTAAAATAATTCAATTTAAACTTTAAATGATTCGATTATAATTTATTCAAATTTAAATAACTCAATAAAATAATTTAAAATTTAAATTAAATAAATTTTAATAATTTAATTTAAAACAATCAAAATTTTAATAATTTAAGAATCAAATTTAAAATAATTTCAAATTCAAATCAATTCAAATGTTCCAATTTAAACTCAATCGGATCAATTTAATTTCCACCTCTAGACTTGGGCGTTGTATTCCTCAAGTTCTTCATTTAGAAATTATAGTTTAATTCAAAGAAGTATATCCACCATAAAAAGGAACAAAAAGAAAAACCAACAAATAAAAATTAGTACTTAGCACATATAAAATAAAACTAAGTAAATCTAATTTAAAAATTACATAAATTATAAGATTAAAAAAACTTACATGAGGTGAAACTTTAACTTGGAAGGTTCTATTACATGTCTATTTACCATTTGGAGCACATATGTATCGAAAAATAAAACCTGATTAACTTAATATATACTATAATTAATTTGAATGCATTGGATAGGGATTCACCCAATTAATTATTAAATATTACATTAATATAAAATATTATAAATAATAACTTAACTAATTTAAAATGTTTAGCATTAATTTGTTGAGTTACTAAATAAATTTTTTAAGGTCTAAATTCGATTTAACATTTTTTTTATTAGATTATTCATTAATCTAATACTTTATTCGTTTTCAAATTGTTTGAATAATATTGATTTTCATGGA